CTTAAAAATAGTAGGGATGATGCATGCATCAAGTTTGCAATCAGAGTAAATATAGTATATAGAAGAGTTATTAGTTTTCGTTGACCTTGATGATCAATTGAGAACCGAGGGAGTATGATAATTTATTTCTACGTTTTTCTTTTGTTGCTGTATTTTAAAAAAAAAAAGGTTATTGCGTTTGAAAGGAGCCTTGAAAGGTGACATAAACCGAATTAAAGCGCTGGAATAATTATTGTGATCTCTGTGCGCGGCAGGACAGCCTCACAAACACACAAGTGTAATCAGAGATGCTTTGCTAGCTAGCTTCTGCTACAAATCACCTCTCCACATTACAAGGAACAGCATCTATACGATCATAATGCATGGATGGGACTAATCACTAGCTAGACATGAAATTAACGCAATATGCCCTGCATATATACGCACGCAGAAGCTAGCATCTAATGATGTGGCTAGCTATAGTAAGGTCTAAATCTAAATTGTTCACTTAGAAATCTTAATCAACACGTTGCTAGGAGATATATATGCATGTGTGCGAAAAGAAAATATTTTTGTAATGTGTCTTATATTACATATATCTGTTGTTGGAAACATTTGATCTGTTGGTAATTAATTTCAATTGATAGGGAAAACCAATTTATTCCGCTTGTTGGATAATGCCTTTTAAATTAAATTTGTTAGATAATGATGAATATGATACATAAGTCAATCTAAACAACATTAGAATAAAAATAATTCTATGTTATTTTATCTCACTAGATAATAGTACTGGATACAACATACTTAGGGGCTGTTTGGATGGGACTAAAAGTTTTTAGTCTATGTCACATCGGATGTATGGACACTAATTAGAAGTATTAAAAGTAGATTATTGACAAAACTCATTACATAACCATAGACTAATTCGCGAGATGAATCTATTGAGCCTAATTAATCTATGATTAGCCTATGTGATATTCTACGGTAAACATGTGATAATTACTCCCTCCGTTTTTTTTATTTGACGTCCGAGACAAGTTCGATCAAATTAAGGAACGGGTGAAATGTCCTTTCTGCCCTCCATTCCTTCTTCCTTCCGACGCAGCCACGCTGTCCCTACCGGCCACCGCGCGATGGCAGGCAAGCCTGCGCCTCGACGCCGAGCGACCAGCGAGTTTGAGATCGACCTCAACACCCTCTCCAACTCCCCCGCCTCAGCCGCCGCCGCCATTTGCAAGGCCATTGATGCGCCAAGAGTTGGTGCCGCAATGGCTGCCGCGCAACTCCTGGCCATATGCCACCGGAGTTCTGGGAGCACGATAGCTTCTTTCTCCAACGGCAGCAGCTAACAACGCATCCATGGTCGCGTCGAGATCTTCAAGAAGCGCAATCTCACCGGCCACTTCCTGTCCTGCTCCACCTACAAGGTGTCAAGGTGACGGGCCGCCTCTTTGTCCCCTGTTCTATCGCCTATACAAGAAAACATAAGTTCAGAACTTTGCGATCAGGGAAGGTTCAGAACACACATAAGCAGCATGGTGTTTGAGCTGCATTCACACATCAGAATTCAATTCCATGGCACACCTGCTGCACGGACAGAACTGCAGAGAGCGATCAATCTAGTTCTTTTGCCTCCTTGTCGCCTCTGGCGACTTTCACAAACCGGATGAGAAAGAATCTGGTGTTCTACTGCAGCTTGTTCAAGATTTCCTCTCCATCACAAGAATCTGGTGCTGCTGCCGTGGAACCCTACCTCGGGCCGCCGCTGCTGAGCACGAGCTTGCTGCCGAAGAATGAGAAGCAGTGGCGCCGCCGCGAGACCTAGCCACGGGGAAGGTGCGGACTGCAGTGGGGCATGCCAGGCAAGGACAGCGGCGGTGCGGGACGCAACAACGACAGCGGCGCGTGAGGGCGGGGAGGAGGAGAAGGAGGCAGCGGCGGTGGAGGAGGAGAAGGAGGCAGCGGCGCTGGACGAGGCGTCGCCACGTCGGTGGCAACGGAGAAAGAGTCAGGGGCAAGATGGAAATTTCGGGTACGGAAGATGAGCATCTGAATTGCCAGCGTCAAATAAAAAAAACACTTTCGGTTTGAAGAACGTCAAATAAAAAAAAAACGGAGGGAGTATGAATTAATTAGGCTTAAAAATTTGTCACGCGAATTAGCTTCGTTTATGTAATTAGTTTTATAGGTAGTCTATGTTTAATACTCTAAATTAATATCCAAACATCCTATGTGACAGCTTAGTAGAAAAGGGGCCCTTCGAGAGGGATTTTATTCGATTCCCTTAATTATGGGTCTATTGGTGCGTTCAGAAGCCATTTATGCGGAAGCGCTGCGGGCCTGCGGCTGCTGCGCTCGCGCGACTGCAGCTACTTGCGGAACAGCCGCGCGGTAAGTGCCAACCGAACTGTAGCCTTCAAGAATGTCAATATTATTTGTAATATACTCTTTCATAATTCTTGATGTTTTACTCAATATTGAGGTTAAATTATTAGAACTTTGACTATCAGTAACTTTTTAAATATTAAGTTTGAATGCACTATAACAGCACATATAGATTAGTCTTAAAAAATACTACAATAAAAATAAATATTTATTCATTATATATTACAACAAATATCATAATCAAATATACGTTTTGGAGACCGTGTCTTCCAAAACATCGGATGGGGGTAAGCTAATTTTAACCTACTCGGGACATAAATATTTCCTATCAAGTACCATATTCTATTCGTCCCCAAAAAAAAAAACACCTAACGAAAGTGGGGATGTGACCCCTCCTATTAGATTTGTTGTATTAGGAGGACCACATTCCCTCCTAAGTTTTTTTGGACAGATGGAGTAAATAATCATCATAGCAATATTTTTGTGTCTACAGCTTTGACGAGACCACACAAGCATTTATTCACGCATATATAATCTGGGCCATAAGCATACACACCTTAGGCCTTGTTTAGTTACAAACTTTTTCTTCGAACTTCCAACTTTTCCATCACATCAAAACTTTCCTACACACATAAACTTCCAACTTTTCCATCGCATCGTTCCAATTTCAACCAAACTTCCAATTTCGGCGTGAACTAAACACACCCTTAGTACAATATAATGACAAGAATGCCATATTTCTAAACTAAGAAATTATAATGGCAGCGGGAATCCACTTATTATTATTAGACCCTTTTACATGCATGGAATACCTATGTGATGTCGTGAAGATAAGGGCATGTACAATAGAGACCACAGCTACTAGTGGTCTTAACTTGCCACATAGGATAAGACCACACAAAAGCCACTACTATATCCACAACGGTGACCACAATTGAATACATTTTGTGTTTCAGCCTTTACCTATTTATATGTTAGCCCCTATGATATTTGTTAACGTTACCATAAAATTAACTATTTTAGATCTTATAACAACAAAAAAAATGTATAGATACCCCTAATCTATATATGAACCTACCATCAGCCTCTAGTCTCCTTTATTTTCTCTTCCTAGCCATCTCTATCTTATCATGTCCTCTCGACGCCGCCGCCTCCTCTTCCGCCACAGAGGCACTGGTCCCCCTACTTCCCATCCACCTCCGGCCTCTCCCCCGGATCTTCTCTGGGAATGGTGATGGGGGAAGGGACAACATCACCTGTCTCCCCCTCCCTTCTCTGTGAGCGGTGGTGGCGGAGGATCTCGGCGCCAGATCTGGCTGCATCGGATGGCCTCTCCCCTCCCACCCCCTTCTCGCTACGGTGAGAGACCACCGGCGGTGGCGGGTCCGGCCATGAGCTTACCAGATCCGGCCATAAGCTCGCTAGATCTGGCGGCGGCGGGGAGCAGCCGTGGCGGATGATTTGGCAAGCGGCGACACCACCACAACTGCAGCGGTGAGCGGCAAGGACGACCACGACAAGTCCTCCTCGACCTCTCCTTTTTCCCCAAGCGTGTCACAAGGCTCCAATTCTCCCCAATGCGCGTGACCCCGAGCAGCGGTTTCGAACCTCCCAAGCCCAAGCATGGCGAGGCGACCTCTGCTGGCACAATAAAGGTTTATGGAGCCACGATCCCCACTATCATGGGTGCTCAGCTCCAACATGGAGGTTTGAGACCACAGTACAGGGTGAGCGTTGTGATGGCCTAATACCTACATGCATAGGGGCATTTAACTATTTGCCACTTTTAGATTTGACAATTAACTATTTGACACACCTATCTCAATGACATGTGGGTCTACATTGTTTATGACATGTGGGTCCACATGTGTATATGACATGTGGGTCCACATGTGTCTATGACATGTGGGTCCAGTGGCAAATAGTTAATTGCCACATTAAAAGTGGCATATAGTTCAAAATCTCACATGCATATTCACAAAACGTGCACAGAACTACGTGTATATATATACGCGGATAAGTGCGCCCCATTCCCAATTTCCCAAGATAGCTACAGTAAATATATATACTTCATCCGTTTCACAATGTAAGTCATTCTAACATTTCCCACATTCACATTGATATCAATGAATTTAGATAGATATATATATCTAGATTCATTAGCATCAATATGAATGTGAGAAATGCTAGAATGACTTACATTGTGAAACGGAGGGGGTATTAAAAATTTTTAAAAAGTTGTGCCATGGATTCGCATATTTGGTCAGAATAGATAATGGAGTTAATTATTTTTTTCTGAGGAGAAAAATGCAACAACGTGTTGCATGCAATAATATTCCGTCTTCAAATTAAAGCCAAACCCAGAAGCAGCTAGCTAGGGCTGTGTTAGGGCTGTGTTTAGTTCAGCGTAAAGTTTGGATTTTGATTGAAATTGGAGATGATGTGACTGAAAAGTTGTGTGTGTATAACAGGTTGATGTGATGGAAAAGGACTGAAGTTTGGATCCAAATTTTGGATCTAAACACAGCCTAGCTATGATGTGTTCCCACACCAGCTAGCTAGCTTAGCTAACCCTAGCGTCTTCCCCTTCCTCTATATAAACGTGGAATGCAACAACGGCCTCACATCAGGATCGAACTTGCATTGATCAAGCACTAGAGAGAATATAATAGATCGCCGGAGATGACGGAGGGCGTGGTGAAGTTCGCCGTGGACAAGCTGGAGTCGATGGCGGCGCAGGAGCTGAAGCTGCAGACGGAGGTCGGGAAGAAGGTGCTCGAACTCCGCCACGAGCTCGAGTGGCTCCGCACCTTCCTCCGCGACGCCGACCGCAAGCGCCGCGGCTCCTCCTCCTCCTCCGCCACCGGCGGCGCCGCCGCCGCCGCGTACGACGAGCTGATCGAGGTGTGGGTGCGGCAGACGCGGGAGCTGGCGCACGACGCGGAGGACCTCCTGGAGGAGTTCGTCCACCGGGGGGAGCTCCACTGCCATGGCTGCTTCGACCTCCCCTCCTTCCTCCGCTGGCTCCGCCACTCCGCCGCCGGCGTCTTCGCCCGCCACGCCATCTTCGACGGCATCGAGGACATCAACAAGCGGATCGAGCAGATGAAGCAGCAGCGCAAGGAGTGCAACCTCGAGAAGCTGCCCTGTGCCTCCAAACCTCACCGCAAGAAGTACACTGACTGGTATATAGTTAAATATATGCTCATATATAATTAAATAAAACTGATATAAAGATTTCTGTAAATCGTTTTGACTTTTTTTTCTTCAATTTAAACTTTTTGAGTTTGATTAAGTTTTAGAAAAATATAGTAACGTTTTCAACTCAAAACAAACATATTATCAAAATGTAGATAACATATTCAATGTTATATTTAATACAACTAATTTAGTGTTGCAGATATTGATAAATTTTATTATAAATTTGATCAAACTAAAAAAGGGTTTGACTAGAAAAAAAATCGAAACAACTTATAATATTGAACGGATGAAGTAGTTCTTTTTCTTTGGACTTTCAGACGACTTACCAAACTTTGGAAATTCCAAAGACAGATGTATCGGACCGAAATTTAAATTCAAACAGAAAAAAGGGAATCTTTAAATTCAAACATAAATTTCAAAATGAAACAGAAATTAAAAATATATTTCGATCAAATCTTTTACCTGCAATAATTAATGTTTTTTCAAAATTATAGAACTTGTTCAAGATTTATACTAAAATTGTTTTGCACTAGCTTGTTGCTTAGAATACTGACAGCCTTTAACATTTTATACATTTTATTTTACAATAAAATATTAATGTTAAATATTAAAAGTATAACTACTACATGTAAAAGTATTCAGCTATGCTAGTCTTAGAAATGCTTGGGCCGAGGCCTCAGCACATCAGTGGGCATGAAATGGACCGCTATATGTATTGTGCTGTCATTGGACCCATACTGTGCTGGACCAGTCTATCCAATTAGCGTACCATTCAAGATAGATAAGATTAATTACGGATTTACGGGCACATAAAACAAAGCAATCTAGTTTTCGTGATAATAAAAAATAGTAAAGTAAAACATGTATCTTACTTAGAAAATAACATAGACTATACGGAAGTGGATTTTTTCCCTCGAGGGACATCCCGCGTTTTGTGCATATCATTTAAAAAGCTATAAAAAATTGTTAAGATAGATCAATATATAATATATCTTTTCACAAACATGTGAGTTGAAATTCGACCTATACAATTTGAAATAAAAATAACAAATTTAACCGTGAATTATACGTTATATTCATAGTCAAATTTGTTATTTTTATTTCTTAATTTAAATTTGTATGTTTATGAAGTGACATATCACATATTGATCTATCATATTGATTTTTTTTAAAAAAAAGTAATGATTTTTTAAATGACATGTAAAAATGAAGGAATATCTTCTAAGGATGAACTGAGTTTTCGAGTATACGAGTGATCCACCACTTATAACGATACAAGCTGTAAATTGACTTTCTTTGACTATTGTACATTCATACAGGTCATCGCTGACTGAGCTGGAGATCGAAGACAACCTGGTCAAGATCGGCGACTACGACGAAATCAAGAGGCTGGTCCTCGACCAGAGCCGGCAAAGGACGGTGATCAACCTCACCGGCAAGAGCGGCATCGGCAAGACGACGCTGGCGAGCTACCTCTACCGGCGGAGCAGCATCCGGAAGCACTTCGCCTGCACGGCGTGGGTCCACGTCCCCCGCAAGTTCCGCTTCGCCGACCTCCTCCACGACGTCATCCGCCAGGCCAACGCCTCCTCCGGCCACGACGACGATGAGCTCGCCGCCGCCGCCGCCGACGACGACGTGCGGCGCCGGGGTGGGATGGAGGCGGAGAGGCTCGTCAAGGCGCGCCTCGCCGCCGCGCTCCAGGGGAGGAGGTACCTCGTGGTGCTCGACGACGTCCGGAGCAGGGAGGAGTGGGCCTTCTTCCTCGCCGCGCTCCCCGCCGGCCTCGCCGGCAGCTGCGTGCTCGTCACGACGCAGGTCAAGATCAGCGAGGAGTCGGCGGCGGAGCAATCCGGCGGCGTCGTGCGCACCAGGGAGCTCGGGAAGCTGCGGCCGGAGCAGGCCGCCGAGCTGTTCCGCCGGAGGGTGTACGGCCACGGCGAGCCGGACCCGAAGAAGATGGAGCAGCTCAAGAAAGTCGTGGACTCCATGACGAAGGGATCCAACCTGCCGCTCAACATCGTCATGCTCGCCGGACTCTTGAGGTCCAAGAAGGAGGATGAATGGGATGCCGTGATCCATAGCCTCGATGATACGCCGCCGCCGCCGACATCGCCGGAGCAGATGCCGCCGGAGAAGGATAGCCTCGATGATATCGCGCCTGCTGCCGCCAGCGAGACGGCGCCGACATCGACGGAACAAACGACGAAGAAGAAGATGAAGGGGAAGCAGATGGCGACGTCGATGGACAAGATATTGACGGTGTGCATGGACGACCTGCCGACGCATCTGAAGCCGTGCTTCCTCTACTTCGCCGGGTTCACCGCGCAGACGCCGATCTGCGCCGGGAAGCTGGTCCGGCTGTGGGTCGCCGAGGGGTTCATGCAGGCGAAGAACGGGCAGACGGTGGAGGAGCACGGCGAGGAGTGCCTCAAGGAGCTCATCTCCCGGTGCCTCGTCCAGCTCGTCGAGACGGACGCCGCCGGCGGCAGGGTCGCCGCCGTCAGCGTCCACCAGGCGGTGCTCGACTTCGCCCAGGCGGAGGCGCGCGACACCAACTTCCTCCACGTCCACAGCGGCGCCGCGGGCCTCTCCAACGGCGCCGCCCGCCGCCTCGCGCTCCGCAACACCTACGACACCGACCTCGCCGTCATGCTCGAGGCGCCCAAGCTCCACACCCTCCTCTGCGACATCCCGGAGCGCGCCGCCGACGCCGCCGGCGCCGCGGCGTGGCAGAGAGCGCTCGAGCTCATCAATGGCCGCGCCCCCACCTTCTCCGTCCACGGCTCGAGGTTCCTCCGCGTGATGGATCTCAAGGGCGTGCGGCTGCCGCACCGGGAGTCGCTGCCGGAGGAGATCGGGTGGCTGATCCACCTCAGGTACCTGGGCCTCTCGCACACCGCCATGAGGCACCTCCCGAGCTCCGTCAAGAGGCTCCGGAACCTGCAGACGCTGGACGTGTCGCGCACGGACGTCGAGGCGCTGCCGTGGCGGCTCTGGCGCAACCCCTCGCTCCGCCACGTCATGGCGAGGCGGCTCGCCGCGTGGTCCGCGCCGGACGAGCGCGCCGTGCTCCCGGACCTGCAGACGCTCCACGGCGTGCCGTGGGGCCGGTGGGCTCGGAGCGGCGGCGGCGGCGCCATCGGGAAGATGACCAGCCTGCGGTCGCTCATGGCGTGGAACGTCTCCGCCGCCGCCGCAGCCGGCGGCGGCGGCGGCGAGCGGCTGTCGTCAGCTCTGGCCGGGCTGGAGTGCCTGCGGTCGCTGGACCTCGAGGCGGCGGACGACGCCGCGACGACGCTCCCGCTCTGGGACCTCCTCACCATGCTTGGCCTGAGACAGCTCGAGTACCTCACGCTACGAGGCAGGGTGGCGCCATGGAACCCGCCGCCACCGGAGACGACGACGACGCCGACGACGCCGCCACCATTGCAAGGCCACCACCACCACCACCACCATTACCTCCTCCCAAACCTCGCCAAGCTCGAGCTGCACAGATCAGAGTGCGACCAACCCCTCATCGACGCCATCGCCAAGCTCCCCAACCTCGCCGAGCTCGTGCTCGACGAGGCGTCCTACGTCAAGCCCTACATGAGGTTCCCCGCCGCCGGGTTCCCCAAGCTGAGGAAGCTGCAGCTCACCAGCCTAGACAAGCTGACAGAGTGCACCGCGGCGGCGGCGGCGGCCGGAGACGGCGGCGGCGGCGCGCTGCCGCAGCTCCGGCACGTGTCCGTCTTCCACTGCGGGAAGCTGAACACGTTCCCGGTGAAGATGGCGCCGAAGCTGGAGCTCCTCACCATCCATGATTCGGAGGAGTTGAAGAATTTCATGGATTGCAACCAAGACAACGAGCACATCCACGTGGTGCATGGCAAGATGTCCAAGAGGAGGGTGATGACTGCCCCCAAATAGAAGGAGTACTAAAATCAGAGCAAGTATAATAATAAAGTATTGCTTGGGTTTAAAATGAAAAAAATGGGTGACGTCAGCATGGTATCGTACATGACCGTCGTACTTCATCATGCTGATGGTAATACATGGGGTACTGAAAATTAAAAACAATATAAGGATATTATATATAAACGTTGGTAGGGAAACTATTTTGATATCTTGCGGGAACCTCCCTTATTTATTTAAAATCATCTAAATAATTATGAAAAGTTTCAAAAAAAATTGACAGTGTTAATAGAATTTTTATTTTTTTCTCAATGGGTATGTTGAATTTAAACTTTAATTTTTGGACTATAAATGTCACTATTCATTTTTTTTCAAATTTTTTATAACTATTTGTATTGAATTTGGGAGAAAAAAATACACGATGGACTATTCATTTTTTTCAAATTTTTTATAATTATTTGTATTGAATTTAAAAGAAAAAAAATATATGGGCAGATATCACTGATTAAAATTTGTTTCCCAATATTATCTATGTAACTATCTGCACTATTCATTGTACGACAATGTGTAAATTGCATGTATGAGCGTCTTTGTGGATTGTTAACTGCTTAATTTGTACACGGGGTGCGGTTATCATGTAGAGTAATATGCTCCGTGCGAGTATATACGGTTGTACTATATACATGTATGGTACTCTATATGGAATGATATATGATTGTTTTGAATATGTCTTCTCCATCATTTCACTCCTTACAAATGACTCTGTTCTTCTCCGACGACCTGAAAGCAACCCCTCAACCATAACGGTACAAGTGCCATTGAAGCAGTGACATATATGCCCCATATGTCAATGCCTCAACGGCACGCGCCGTTCAGCAAATGACGCACCGCGGCGATTTGCTACCATAATGATACACATGTACTATCTCTCCTTCTCCGTGCCTACCACCTTATTTTATTTTGCTATGAAGGTCTTTGCTAAAGGCTATTTAAAACATAACGATTTATAAGATTTTTAACATAAATCACGTAAAATTTCTACCTATATTTGTCTTGTCTAAAGAAGCTTTGAATACACCAACATAGGTCAACATCTTTTTTGAAAAATTCCAATTTGCTTCCCTAAACTATAGTCTAAGTTTACTCCCTTAATTGCAAAATTGGTTACAACACAACCCTCAGCTATCAACACCGTTGTATTCTGCATCCCTGAGTGGTTTCGACGACGGTTTCCTCCGATATGACGTTTACGTAGTGCTACGTGGCATTACTGACATGTGGGTCCCGCTATTTTCTCTCTTGTTTGACTAACATGTGGGCCCCCATATTTGTTACAATTTTTAGTTTTCCATTTTGCTCTTTCTTTCCAAATTAAACTGCCACGTAAGCGTCACATTAGATGGAGACATAGTCAAAAGGTGCCACGTAAGCGCCACGCCAGCTAAAACCAGGAACAATGCTGACGAGAGATCTTTTTTTTTTGCTGGTTTTGTAAGTCGGGTGATGGATTGTATCTGATTTTTCGGTTCAAGGATGAAAATTAAACCTGGCGACAAATTAAGAGCCCTGATGTGAACTTATTCCGCACGCGGCTGGTCCGAGCCCATCCAGCCCAGCCCACCTCACCCCTACCTTGGTCCTTGGTCCTTACCCCACCCACGGTCACGGACGAGGCATAAAAAAAAAATCTCACGCGCACACCCAATCCCAATCCCTCCTCCTCCTCGCCGCCTAGGGTTCGCGTCGCGCGGCGCCACCCCCCATCCCCCTCCGCCGCCGCCGCCGCCGCCGCCGCCGCCGCCATGATGCCGCAGCCGCAGCCAGGGATGGCCCCGCCGCCGCCGCCCCCGCAGGCGGGGGTCGCCGGGGGCGGCGGCGCGCCGCCGCAGTGGGGCGCCATCCCTCCCCCGGTGCCGCACCAACAGCAGCAGTACGCGCCGCCGCCGCCGCAGATGTGGGGCCAGGCTCCCCCGCCGCCGCCGCAGATGTGGGGCCAGGCTCCCCCGCCGCCGCAGCCCGCGTACGGCCAGCCGCCGCCGGCCCAGGCGGGGTACTACGGGGCGCCGCCGCAGGCGGCCCCGGCCGTCCCCGCGGGGCCCAACGAGGTCAGGACGCTCTGGATCGGGGATCTCCAGTACTGGATGGATGAGAACTACATCTCCGCCTGCTTTGCGCCCACCGGCGAGGTATATGCTTCTCTCCGTTTGTTTGTCTCCGAATTTGTGCCATAAAAATAGTTTTTTTTGTCTCTCATCTGTTGATGTGGAGTACGTTCATGCTATTTGCTATAGCTGTGTATTTGGCCTAATGGTTGATGGGTAATAAGGGTATGATACAGTTTTAAGGCGGCACATGCTGTTTGTATGTTTGTGTAGGAGTGTAAATGTGAAGACTTGGGATGATTTAGGTCTCTCATATGATGAGGACTGGTTTTTTTAGACTTAATTCTGTTGATTGGCGTGGCGCGATGGGATGGTGGCAATGTTTTTCCTCAATGTTTTGGGTATGCTTGAGTGTTTTTATGTTACCAATGCTTTAAGATATGTTAGGGGGAAAAGCTAGATTGTTTCTGCTGTTCCAAATAGGCTTATTTGGATGTTGTAATGCTTGTTTTTTTTGTAAGTTTGCCAAAAAAAAAAAACCAGACAAATCTTTACGAGTTTAGGAGGTATTTCTGTGGTAGGTAGCTGGTGTGTTGGTTTATTTATGACTTGTATGTTTTCATCATTGCACAGTTTCTCCTCAAGATCTGTTGCTTTTCTGTGATCATGTTTAGCTAATCTTTTATTTTGTGTCCATCATTTGGCAGCTACAATCTGTGAAGCTAATTCGTGACAAGCAGACTGGACAACTTCAGGGTTATGGCTTTATTGAATTCACATCCCATGCTGGTGCTGAAAGAGTTCTTCAAACATACAATGGGGCAATGATGCCAAATGTTGAGCAGACATACCGGTTGAATTGGGCCTCTGCTGGTGAAAAACGTGATGATACCCCTGATTACACAATTTTTGTTGGTGATTTGGCTGCTGATGTTACAGACTACATATTGCAAGAGACGTTCAGGGTACATTACCCATCTGTGAAGGGTGCAAAGGTTGTGACAGATAAAATGACAATGCGTTCAAAGGGCTATGGCTTCGTCAAATTTGGTGATCCTTCCGAGCAAGCCCGTGCAATGACAGAAATGAATGGGATGGTTTGTTCTTCAAGACCTATGCGTATCGGCCCAGCTGCAAATAAGAAAGCAACTGGAGTTCAAGAGAAAGGTAATCACTAACTGAATGCTGGTTGAGTTCATCTAGTTTTATCTGTTTTTGGCTTGTAGCTGGATTCCATCATTGTTACTTACATGTTGTGCAGTTAACAACAACTTGTTATATTATTTTTCTTTTTTTTTTCCCGTTGGTTGGCTTGTTCCATACTTCCATATGTATTGAAGATTGGCTGAAATCCTTCTACAATAACTTAGTAGCTCCACGCATTTCCTTCGTGAATTTGGATAATTTAATACACTAGGATTCTGAAATACTCATAAAGCTCCTGTTGTCTGGAAGCAGGATACCAACAGGCTCTCTTCATATAGGAGCCTTGGAATTGACTTGAGCTGCAATGCATGTCTTGTAATTCGTGGCCTCTGTTAGGTCAGTGTTAATTGTTTATGTCCTAAATTTGAAGTCAGTTCTTTCGGTACCAAGTACTTAATTTTGTTAAATTTTTTCCTTCCTGCCACATAATAATCCTTTTGTTCTTCTGGTATCTTTCGTTAAAGCTTTACTTGAAATTAAGATCTTCCTCAACTCAATAGGTTTCATGTAGAATGGACATTAGCTTGTTTATAAGCTTCCTATCCTTATAAGTAGCCCATACTTCTGCCCTTGTTATTCCTTTGTTACTTTCTTTTAGAAGGATGCTATGATGGAAATATCGTATGCTCTCAGTACCAATTCCATTTGCTATTCCTTTATCTTCTGTTTGTTGTAACATCCACTTCTATGCTGGAAGTATTGTATGATCTTAGTGCCAAGCCTAACCTGTTGATCAATTCCATTTCTATTCCTTTATCTTCTCTCTGTTGTAACTTCCACTTCTATGATCTTTCAATAATAGTAACAAAAAAAAAAAAAGCTACTGGCTCCTTTGTAGCTCTGTAAGCTGTTATGTTTTTAATACCTAATAATTATGACTTGTACCATTAGACTTGCTTCAGAAGCATACCATTACCACCTGCTGTGATCTATGCGTTCACAATTCTTTGTGAAAGTATTCCTGTTAAGGATAAACTTCTTTCTTGAGGGATTTGATGTGTTCTGCCAAAGCCCAAAGATAGGTTAGGAACAGCAAGAATCTAGTTGCATTTGTTGACTAGTGTTTCTTGGCTTCTTATATGGTCTTGGTACCTGTTAGCTCATTGACACTGCATGAAGATTATATTTGACAAGCAAATGCTGCAGGGCGTACTTGTTCCTTGTTTGCTTTGAGTTTATTGAGATACTTTAAGATAGCATGTTTTAGCTGTTTGCATATAATTGAGTTGACAACCAGGAATACTAGAATACTAAACTACTGGGCACTATTTGAATTTGAAGTGCAACAAGTTCAACATACGGGATGCCTTTTTCTGCCCTTGATTTCTGACTAGATTTGTGTTATTCTACTTACAACCTCCGTGTCTTTATGTGATCTGTCTAGTTGACCCTATTAATTTTCACTAGCAAACTATAATTATTTACTCAAAATCTCCTTTTCAAGGTTCTTCATATTAAGTTGCATCATTAGATATTAACATGTTGGGTCTAATCGTTTACACAATCTCTTACATGGAGCTACAGAATCAGTTTCAATAATGACCAGAAGAAAATACTTGTTATTTGCAAGAATTAAAATTAATTTATTAAAGCTTCATCATGGACATGTTCTCGGTTGTTGTCATTAGCACCAGAAATTTTGCAAGCAAAGACTGATATATGATATGGATGATTTCAATTTCGTAAGACTGTTTTGGTTGCTGCATTTGTTTCGTGTATCAGATTTCAATGATATCTTATGCTTGTTGCTGAGGAGGTTTGTATCTCTTGAGCCATGAAGCATGCTGTTTGCTTGCAACATCTTTTTAACTATACAGTCTCTTGCGACTAAGTGAAGATCATGATTTGCATGATATGCATCTGGATTTAACAAGTCTTACATTATATTTTTCTTCATTTGTGTTTTATTTACAGTACCGAGTGCTCAAGGAGTTCAGTCTGACAGTGATCCTAGCAATACCACTGTGCGTTCTTTGTTCTACTTTCTTGGTAAACGTAGTTTCACATATCAATTTTACTGATGACCATCTTTGTTGTTGAGCACAGATATTTGTTGGTGGCCTTGATCCCAGTGTCACTGACGATATGTTGAAACAAGTTTTCACTCCCTATGGAGATGTGGTCCATGTTAAGATCCCAGTTGGAAAAAGATGTGGTTTTGTTCAATTTGCTAACAGGTTGGCTAATTTTGCACCCTAGATATCCCTTGTTTGTGTGTATGATGTATGCACTCCATATATACTTTTATCTTAACCATATGTTCGATGCATTCAGAGCTTCTGCAGATGAAGCTTTGGTACTTCTACAAGGTACCTTGATTGGAGGACAGAATGTGAGGCTTTCATGGGGCCGCAGCCCTTCAAATAGACAAGCTCAGGTGATATACTGATCAATCTTTTACATGAACTGAATTTCTTTGCCCAGTCAACCAAAACTAACATATACATTTCCAGCCTCAACAGGATTCCAACCAGTGGGGTGGTGCTAATGCTGGATACTACGGTTATGGGCAAGGATATGAGGGTTATGGGTATGCTCAACCTCAGGACCCTAATATGTACGGGTATGGAGCTTATGCTGGTTATCCCAACTACCAACAACCCCTAGCTCAGCAGCCGCAGCAGCAACAGGTGAGAGCTGTGCTTTTTAACTGATGGTCCTGTTAACTGATTTAAGCCAGATTACCTTGTTAGCTTGTAACACCTCATAGCATTCATTTAATGTTTTTTGTGATAGGAAATGGTAGATAATAATTGTTGACATGATGAGAAATAATTTGTAAACTGTATGCTAGTTTGGTAATAAAGGTCGTAGTGTCAATTCACAGTTATTTCTATTGGTGCGCTACATGAAAGAAACACTCTTCTGAAAATTCTTTTATTGAGTGAACATTGTGGAGCTTGGTTGACAAAAGATGTTGTCTAGCCTAGACTGGCTAACCCTTTTGTTCTATACTCTCTGGCTAATAAGAGTAATTTGTTCTCCAGAAAAAGAGGTGTAGGTATTGTTTTTTTCTGCTCCAATTAAGTAGTCTTAAAACAAGAGTTAGCAGCTACTGTCGAGATATTATTCCACACGTTTCTTGCTGAATTTCTTACCTTCCCATTTATAAAATTTGGCACAAGACAATCTCTCTCCTTGGTTTAGTTAACTTTTCTGATCATGTTGGTACATTGTAGATATAACAATCACATATCTTAAGAATCTTCTTCCTTTGCAGTGAGATCCAATGGAAGATTTGGTTTTCGAGACTGATCAAAGCCGTCGAACGAGGTGATGCTTCTGCATTCCGGAGCATGTCTGGGTTATGTCAATAGAGATTGTGATTTGTAGTTCTCCAGATTTTGACTGCTTATGAGGTGTTTTGATTAAGCGACATGTTCTGTACTTCTGTGAGCCTGGGCTGGTGCACATTGTGATTCTGTCGTACATGTGAACTGCATGTAGTAAAAAAATCTTTCGTGGTTTGTTTTCTGCCTTAAAATTATCATTGCTTTGCTGTTATGTATTCTGCACAGCTTGTTACCCAGATGGATGTCATATGCCATTCGATTTTGACCTAGCATCGACTGGTTGAAATTATGAAGTATCTTATGGATTAATAACAATTGCTTTCTCCGTTTCACAATGTAAGTCATATTAGCATTTTTTGCATTCATATTGATGATATATCTAGATTTATTAATATCAATATGAATGTGGGAAATGCTAGAATGACTTACATTGTGAAACGGAGGGAGTAGTAGTGTACGTAATCAAGGTATATAAAACCACTTGGGCTACTTTGATGGACCTCAATCCTGCCCTATATATGTGTATAAGCTGAGGAATTCTGTTCGATTTTTTGACCTACACGTGGATAGGTACCGGAGTCGTACGCTGAGCCTTATTCAAGCTTAGTATCATTAATATGGCCTGGTTTGGTTCCTAACTTTTTTTTTTTAACTTTCAACTTTTCTATACACAAACTTTCAACTTTTCCATCACAACGTTTTAATTTCAATCAAACTTTCAATTTTAGCGTGAATTAAATACACCATATGTTTTGCCTTTTAGAGAACCGAATGATTTGAGTTGAGACATGGCCATAAATAACAGCCACATCGTGTTGCAAACCCGCTGCATAGTAGAACTGTTGGTATGTCGTGCTGCAATGAAATCCTTGTTTAACTGAACAAGGTTATTATTATATTTTGAAGACTTGTATCCACGTTTATACTGTTACTTTTGTACCTCCATTGCGGTGTAATGTTTCATCACATATTCTTGTCGATCGTCCTGGCAAATATTGCAGATCTTTTCACTGTCCTAGATTATGTATTTGCAAGACGTCGAGCGATTGGAAAACTAGTAATCACTTCATAATAAGGGTAATAATAATGATCGATCCGTAGGTCTTTAGGAGGAGAGGAAAGGAGGGAGGTGGGCTTGCATTGCAGGCCATACTGTTCCTAACGGTGTTGAGAATGGATGCCTTGAGAAATACTCCCTCCGTTTCACAATGTAAGTCATTTTAGTATTTCCCACATTCATATTAATGTTAATGAATCTAGATAGCCACATTCATATCTGTCTTGATATATATCTATCTAGATTCATTAACATCAATATGAATATGGAAAATACTAGAATGACTTACATTGTGAAACGGAGAATGTATGTTACTTTAGGTCCTTCAATTTGGCGCCAAGTTTAAAATTCATCTGTAAACCAAAATACCGTATATATAACGGGTTCCTTGAATGATATAACATGTTCTTTGATTTACAAAACCGGATCATCTGAAGTCTTAGCCAATATTATGCCTAATTTTAGCTGACGTGACAAGTTGAATTAACGTGCGGATCCCACGTGTCAGTGGTCACCACTTTCCTCCTCTCTTCCCCCTTCTCCCCTCTCTTCTCCATGTCAACCTCGTCCGCCTCCGTAGCTGCGCTCGTCCCTAACCCTACCTGTCATTTATGTTCGCCATCTACACAGACCAACACTGCAGCGTCACGCAAGCATGTGAAAAGTTCGACGCTGATGCCTAAGAAGTCCTCGTCGCGGCGTCCCTCCGTCCAAAAAAAACTCAACCTAGGAGGGATGTGACCCCTCCTAGAACAATGAGTCTGGATTACTCTTTATCCAGATTCGTTGTTTTAGGAGGGGCCACATCTCCTAGGTTAAGTTTTTTTTTTTTTTTGGGAACGGAGGGAGCATGTACTAGGAGGCAACGGCCGCAGGAGGGCTAGCCGTGCGTGCCAGCGGGGCCACAGAATGTCGTCCAACCGTAGCGCCGGCGCCACGCCAACGGCATGTGGGAGCTCTTATTAAGCCATATCGCATCAATTGTTTTTAGCCTTTAAATGATTAACCTACGGTCCAAACTATCTCTCTACTTTTCTTCTCTCATAAAGTCTTATCGGCTTACCTTTATATTTGAACCATCATTCTATATACTATTTAAATTAAAATTATCATAAACCACGTTAACTTACGTAATCTTATGTTATCTAGCTATTTTATACATTATTTTTACTTATTGTTATTCCACTAAACTTCCACAGCAACGTGCGGGGTTTCACCTAGTATACTCAGATGTATACTCCCAACCCATCCTCACTTCTATGGGCTTGGCCCGATATAATGTATGAACATATTACTGGTGCTTTTAAAAAGTCAAATAATCTAAAAGCACACAGTATATACAAGCTAACTGACGGGTAATTCTACCTTAATTAGCATGTGGTTAATTGCTGGGGCATCAAAAAATTACACTACGGACTGCACATAGATTCATTGACAGTTACTGTTTTTCCCCCTCTGCGTAAGAAGCCATATTGTGTTCTGATGAGATCTGGGTTTCTATGCATTATATTTGGACAAACACTATACATGGACAAGAGCAAGGCCGGCAGATCATCTAAATGCCATCCAAATTAATTACTACTTTCAAGAATTATATCTCGTATATATGTAGAGACGGATCCAGTGTGGATGCCAGGGGGATTCAAGTCTACCCTACCCCATATGATCGCTATTGAGAGAAGGGGACAAGAGGAGGGGAAAGAAGAGTGTGTTTGTGTGTGTGTGTTTTTTTCTTTGGTGGTGGGGGGGGGGGGGGGGGGGAAGAGGGAAATAAGCCCCCCTCCATTTTTTTCTTGGATCCACCTTATATGTGAATTTCTCATGCACACACTATCACTGATAATGATTTCATATTGAACTTCAGGACACTATTTTTTTTTGTCACAAAGAACACTGTATTTCATTAATTAAACAGGAAAACCATACACATGTATTGGAATTACATCACAGAATATAGCTAGTAGTGGTACACGAAATAGAAGTCATTTTATTGTAGTATATAAAGTTAATTATGCAGGATCTCTGTAACTGCACATAACTTTTTCTTAAATGCAATCAGTAAGATGATCAGTAATGGTTGTTCTCCCAGAACTGGGCTTGGAGCCAATCTATTGTCCCCTTTTCGACCTGGAATGCCTTGGCCAAAACATCATCGGAGATTGGTGGCTTCGACCCAAACACCGCATTTGCAATGGTGATGGCACCAGGGTTCTGGCTGCTAAGTGCGGCAATTGCGACCGCGGGCTTGTAGGGGTTAGGGTTAAATTGGAAGTGGATGAGCCCCACAGGGAATACGAACACATCACCCTTATTGAGCACTTTGGAGAAAAACTTGTTATCTGGGTTAGACGTGACGAAGCCGACATAGAGTGTTCCTTCAAGCACCGTGAGGATTTCGGTGGCACGAGGATGAGTGTGGGGAGGGTTTTGACCTAACGGTGCATAGTCAATACGTGCAATTGAGATGCCGAGTGTGTTGAGGCCAGGGATCTGCATGACGTTGATCAGTGTGACGTTAGACCCAACTTTGTTCGTCTTCCGAGGAGTGTCCAACATTGCTGCCTTGAAGAAGTGATCCGCGTTCACGTCCTTTGGGTTCAGGCAAGCAAATCCATTGACAAGCACTGCTTGCATGCAAAGTAAACGGACAGAGAAAGCTCAGAATTTCGCACTATATTAATATGTTTTCAATAAATCAAGTAAATGAGAGATGGAATTCTAGCCATGTTATATTGTGCTACAAGCAAATTAAAACAACTCGAAAATGAAACTGAGAGTTTGTATACCAGGTGAGTGCATGTCGGCAACGCAGAAGTCCTGCAGAGGGCTGGGATCCGAAGCCATGCCTTGCCATGAGGCCATGGCAAGAAGAGTGGCGAGGAGCAGGAAGGAAGACGAAGCCATTCTAATGCCCTTCTTAATTAGCTAGTAGCTTATATATACCTGCTTGTTAATTCAGGTGGTGTGTTTGAGATGCATTTGTCCATGGAGAGGATGCGCTTATATAGGAGCAGACAGAACATGTTGCTGTCTGAACTTGCATAAGCATACATGCGAGCAACCTAAATTTAAGAACAAGTCAAGTGTAGCTAGAGTCAGCTAGCTGTGACCAATTAAAGGATTGAAATGGTCTCTGGCATGCATGGCTGCTAGGGTAGAAAAAAACGTGCTGAACTTCATTAATATTAACTATATATCACTGTAATCTGTATATATATATATATATCAACTCTTGTGTGTGTTCTTTTAAAACGTTTATCTGCTCTACTAACTAATCTGACGTGTGTCGCTGACCGTGTATAATTTACTTGCAACTGTATGGGAAGACGCAGTCGAGATCATTCACACATGCGTTCATCGTCCACTATATATACATATTAATTATAAGTATAGCTTAATCACTGAGGAGATTTCTCAGGAACCAAGTAATGATGTTGATCTATGATAGCAACGGACAACGGTAAGTGACTGTCGATCGAGATCGGTCAATGCATGCACCTGTATATATCTATGAGAGTAGATACATTGATCCTACGTCAGAAACACATGTCAATCCCATCCGTACGGAGACCGGGCCGGCCGATGGATGATCATTTGGGAAGGATATCACCAAGAGCTAGCATTATTTAATACTAGTGTAAAATATATAATGAACAACACATATATATATATATAGTGTAAACCTAGAAGATATTATATAATATACAATTAATGTTCGAGATTTGTTCATGTTATCATAAGTAACACTTCTACTAATTAATTGTTAAATCTGAGAATAAAAGTTTTACTAATGGTAACGTAGATAAATCTCAGAGACGTATATTTTTAATTCTACGATAGGTTTAGGTCATTTTTCCCCTTTAGCATCACATGTAATACTACTCCAACACTTTTGCGAATGATCAATCTGCAAATATACTTTTCCAACACTTTACTTGGTCACCCTGCATTGTTTTCTTGGGAGTGGTTACTTCCACCAGCAATACATGCGTAACAAAGACCAGTACTACCTTTTTATTATCCTTTCTTTTGCTAGGGAACAAATATAGTCTAATATTGGATTTGCTAGTAGTCAGTATAGAGACTAGCTACTTACTGGTACGGAGTCCTATGGACACGCATGCTGCAGGCTGTGACAAACACTAACACACTGTGGATTAGCTTAGTAAGATTTATTAGTAATAAGACTTGTTCAATCTTTTCGTTGGTCCAGCGGAACTGCTGAAGCCGTCCAAACTTCACTAATATTGCTCCCTGCATTTTTCATTTATTTAATGTTGATTAGTGCAATGCAAATTTGAACTAATTAACCAACGTGAGAAACATAGAAAGTACATTGTACAACCACAAAGTTTTTGAAATCACTGCACCCACATAGAAACGAATAACATTTGATATGTGGTTGTATAAAATGTTTTCAAGTTTTATAGGTTTAACTAAGAGTGTAAATGGGTGGGGGTCGTGAACCTACTTATAGATCAAATAACCACTTATTTGATCTATAAATGGATTCTCGGATCCACCCACTTGCACCCTTAGGTTTGACAGTTTCTACATTACCAGATAGACCAACCTCTTTCCAAGTTTGCCACTTGTCCTTGATGGCTGGCCAGCATAGTCTCCATTGTCGAGGCGAAGCACAAATGAAAGATGTGGGTGTTCCGTTCTTTTTAGAATATGCCCTTGAAACTAGGATTGCACTTGCATCATTTTTCTTCAAAACTTTGAACTATTTAGAGATGTCATGTAAAAACCGAGTGCATATATTCACTTGAGGGACAGAATGATTTTCCCCCAAATAAATTCCTGGTGAATGGGCATTAAGCATAGGGATGCAAGTGGAACAAGCCAGCGGGATTTTTTCGCCCACTTATCTCACTTCTAATTCGTTTTTTCTTCTAAAATTTATACTACCATGTGAGAAATAAATAAGCAAGCAGACTTTTATACAGATAGTGGTCTTGTCCAGTTACATCCCTAATTGAGCGAGCATGGTGCTATGTGAAGCCAAGTAGATTGGATGTGTCACCTCATATGGCCATCCTTGCGCTCCAGGTTGCACGCTGCAAGATAAGCCCCACGTATCACAAGACACACCAAGAACATTGCATCAATCTCCCTAGGGCCTTGAGTCTGCCCAAATAGAGGAATAGTGTCGTGTCAATATATTTCCTCCGTTTCTTTTTATATGACGTTTGACATCATATATTTTGAGATAGAGGGAGCATATATCAAGTTGGTCAGATATGCTTTTGCATTTTGTTGATAACATATGACCTCATCTTACCTTTGTGGGGGGGGGGTGCTGTCTCTCTACCTTGTTGTGAATAGTAGTACCAAATATTCTGCTGTCCATGAAGACTGTCAATTTCATATTACTCCGGCCCTCCGTTCTCTTATTTATGTTGAACTAACCGACGCCATATATTAAAGAAAGGAGGTATCTAGTATATTATTGGAATGGGGATTTTGCAACATGATATGCATATTATGTTATTGTTTTCATATGTTCTTAGAATTTTTCGTGGCATTTAGGTATGAGTTTTTTTCTATTTTATTATCGTTGCCCTGGCCAGGCACCACGACAGACATGCTTGTTAGGCCACACCCCTCTTTATTATTATTATTATTATTATTATTATTATTATTATTATTATTTTCTTTAGAAAAATTAATCAGGAGCTCCAGTATATTCCGTTCAGAAGAACATTCACAACCTAATATGAAATAGTAATCATTTGAACATGGGTGAGTGCATATGGACAGACAGGTTGAATTAACTCCATATATATTAGTACAATACAGTATATATATGTGCTGCATGCATTCTATTAATAACTTGGGAACCATCGTATATAACATTAACATGCATGCCAAATAATTCAAGAGTACATATTCTTCCAGAGTTTTGGCACATTCAATTTATTCGACGGGAAACCATACATGTATTATATTGGCCTTACATTAGTACATAAATGTAAAGAACAAACACCTTGGAAGAACGGATAAGAAATACAAAATACATACCACTTATTTATGCTATATATGAAATTACAACATAGATTCTGTAAGCATAATTTTTTTAAGGCAATTAATAGTGGTTGTTCTCCCAGAACTGAGCCTGGAGCCAATCAATGGTGCCCTTTTCAACTTGGAATGCCTTTGCCAAAACTATGTCTGAAATCGGTGGCTTTGATCCGAACACTGCATTTGCAATAGTGATGGCACCAGGGTTTTGGCTGCTTAGTGCAGCAATTGCAACTGCGGGTTGATGAGGGTTAGGGTTGAATTGGAAGTGGATGAGCCCCTCGGGGAACACGAACACATCACCCTTGTTGAGCACCTTGGAGAACAATGTGTTGTTTGGGTTAGACGTGACGAAGCCGACGTAGAGGGTTCCCTCGAGGACAGTAAGGATCTCGGTGGCACGGGGGTGCGTGTGCGGTGGGTTCTCACCCAATGGTGCGTAGTCGATGCGCGCAATTGAGATGCCGAGCGTGTTGAGGCCAGGGATCTGCATGACGTTGATTAGTGTGACGTTGGATCCAACCTTGTTTGTCTTCCTAGGAGTGTCGAGCATGGCTGCCTTGAAGAAGTGGTCTGCGTTGACGTACTTCGGGTCCAAGCAAGCGAATCCATTGACAAGTACTGTATCATATAAAAGTTAACTCGTAAACTCAAGGTTTATGTACTTTTTTAACATATCCATACATGTTTCAATTACTAGATGTTAGTAAAGTAGAATAATCTCACAAGTATTTATGTGTGAAAGTCCAATTATTTTAGATTATATATATAAAGCTAAAAAATGTCTAAAATTAAGAGCATAAATGGTATACCAGGTGAGTGCATATCGGCAACGCAGAAATCCTGCAGAGGGCTAGGATCAGAGGCGATGGCCTGCCATGAGACCAACGCAAGAAGAGCAGCGAGGAGGCAGATGGATGGTGAAGCCATTTACTTGGCTTTGGTTTTCTGCTCTCTTCTCTGCTGAATTATTTGCTGTTTCTCTGGTGGCTGAGAAGCTAGCTAGCTGCTAGCTAACTGCTTGTGTTTATCGTTGGGTGATGCTTTGGCTGTGGAGGATTAATGTGCTTATATAGCCGCAGGGGCGCGGCAGCGTGAACTTGTGAACAACTGAACAAGTCAATTAATCTGAACTGATGTCAGCTAGTAGACTGAAATGGTCTGCAATTTGCTGCCTGCAGGTTGAACTTTTCAGCTTAAAAATATATGTATCGGCACTACTAACTAACCTGACGTGGTCGATTGTGTTTTCACACATTTTGACGATGGCATAGAGTAGTTATCTTTTATCTCTTTTTGAAGGAAATTAAGGATAGCAGTAGTTATGTTCGGATCTGCAGAAAGGGCCAACGAGCGTGCATCATCAATCAATGACCTGCATGCTAAGTCATCGATCGAAAGAACTATTGTTTCCAACCTTTTTCATTTACTTGGTCGCCATTATCTTGGGATCAAATCAAATTGTTTCGAACCGGCCGGTAATTAAGGATTATGAGAAGGACATTACGAGCAGCTTTTGCTACCTTTTAGCATATCATTAATTTTGTCACTGATCACTCTGCAGACTAGTCAAAAATTTACTTGGTCACACGCCATGCATTTTTCTTGGGAGTGGTTAATTACTTTCACTGGCAATATTACAGGCGTAACAAAGACTACAATTTTTTTTTCTGGAGAATAAATACAGTTTAACTGTACTGGTTTTCCCATATGTCACTCTGACCGTACTGGTACGGACACTTATGCAGGCTGTCCCGAACGCTAGTCCTGTCGATCGATTAGCTTAATAAGGCTTGTTATTAATAAGACCAATTCTATATATCTGTTTTTTTTTTTGCCGGGTCGGTGGAAGTCATCAAAACTTTTATTGAGATTGATGGCATGCAACATAGTACTTTTTTCAGCTAACATGTTGAAGGATAACCAGTCTGACCAGAAGGGTAAGAGGTATGCATCAGCATCCACTAGGGATGTAGCATCGTAAGCCAAGTTTCTAAAAGGAAGAGGTCACATAGGTTGGCAGGTTAAGTTTCAATGGTTTCTACAATGCCAAGTAGACCAGCTTCTTTCCAGGCTAAGTTTGCCACTTGTCCTGGATGGTTGCCGCGGTCTAATAAACTGCAAAGGCGAAACACGCATAGAAGACGCGGGCATTCCATGCTTTCCAAACCATCCATGAAATGATGAAACTAGGATTACATACACCCGTGTCGAAAACCTTCTCCTACCTTTTAGACATGCCCTTGCTAGCATCAGTACAGAACACATCACATATTTCAAAGGACCCAACAATGCTGGATTTGGAACCGGCAGTTCTGAATTGGCACTGATGAGGGAGGATCATCATTGCCGGATGTTCAAATAGACATAGATGTCTTTAACCGAGTAATAAAGGCACTAGGAACCCGCTCTTCTAGCTAGAGGATTTTAGAAACTAAATCCCAGAATGACAAAATCACTCACATACAGAATCTTTACACTCTTCAAGTTAAAAGGAAAATATCTGAATCACAAATCTAACAAAAAAAAAAAAAAACTGAGCACACATCACAGATCCAAACATGCTGAACATCTCCATGTACTTCTCATTGTCGACAGGATCGGGTGGTGGCGACAGGGAATGGAGAGGGGAATACGGCGAGGCACCTAGGGTGGGCAAGGTGTGGGTGGGGGGCCGGGGGGGGGTTGAGGCAGAGGCCGCGGTGCTCGTACATCCATCCACCATCCGCCTCTCTGCTGAGAGGAAATGGAGGGGATAGCTCTCTTATCCCTCCTGACAACACCATGCTCGAGGGCACTTTCCATGGATCCATAGTTATCGTTGTCGATACTCCTATGTGTGATCCCCATGGCGGAGCAGCCCAACCGCCATCAACACATCGGATCTCGAGGCAACTGTTGGTAATTCTTACGGTCACAGATAAAAGCCGCAAGCGCACGGATATACCGATGTAGAACTTCCCCTACAGAGTATTCCAAGGGTATCGAATCCAAGGGAATGTGTGTGATCAGATCTTCCTCCGGTTCATCCGAGGACACCAAGCAAAAATTAGACTAGATAGAGAGGATTTACTAGTGAGAAACAATGTGTAGGAAAAGCTTAAGTTTAATCTTAACACGATACTTCAGGTACTGACAACCCGCTGTTCCCATATGTCACTCTACTAGTACCTGGATAGGGAGGACTTAAGTGACCTTGAGGGCTGTCACCACCTCTACACCTACCTTAAACGTACTGTAGGATACACAGCAATTACTGGATAACAATTACCTAAACACCACATCTAAGCAATTAATATGTACTTTAGTGTTTATAACTCACCAAAGCAATCACTATATTTTAGTTGATTATAGTGAACAATAATCCCGTATGCTATTTAGGAACTAACCAAGAGATAATTCTCACAAGATAAATCTAAATTACTTCCTCCGTTTCACAATGTAAGACTTTCTAGCGCATTGTCCATATTCATATATATGTTAATGAATCTAGGCATATATATGTGTCTAGATTCATTAACATCTATATGAACGTAGGTAATGCTAGAAAGTGTTACATTATAAAACGAAGGGAGTACTCAGGAAATAAAAGAAATAAGAGAAGATTACCGACAGCTCTGGAATTCTTCCGACTTCTTCTACTCTACTCTCTTCTCCTAATTCTAGTATACAAATAGTACAATAGAGCCTCTTGTAATTTAGCTCAAGCTTGGAAGTGTGTGAAGAAGTGAAGGAGTGAAGCTCCTTAAATAGAACGGTTATGACGGTTGTGAGAAGGGGAAATGTCCGAACTACCTCGCAACCGTCATCAGGAGAAGATCTGGAGCGTCCCTGCCAAACCCCAGGATCAACGGTGATCACCAGGGTTCGGCTGAAATTGGGCTGGGCCCTCCTGGCCTGGCCTTTGGCCCATCTCCTCCCCTGGTCCTACTCTATCCATTTCTCGGAGTTGTGGGCTGATTCTTCAGTGTTTTGATAAAGTTCAAAGCCCATCCTTGTATGGATATGTTTCTTCCTCCACTTTAGTCTGATTTTCCTCCCAACTTCTGGGTTTATCATCCGCATACAAATATACACCAACACTTGTGGAATATGTGAGATTTGACACCTATCACTATGTTGGATGTTTTATTATCTGGACTTTATGCAAATATTAGCGGTATGGAATTGGCATTTAATAACTGCCAACAGCAACCAGTGATGGAGGAGAGAGAGAGAGAACTTTTGGGTTTATCATCTGCATACAAATATACACCAACACTATCAACACATCGGAGCTCGAGGCAACCAACGATGGAGGAGAGAGAGAGAGAGAGAGAGCTTCCACCGCACTAGGGGATGGGGAGGGACTCACCGCCATGCTAGGGAGGTGTGGAATATGTGAGATTTGACACCTATCACTATGTTGGATGTTTTATTATCTGGACTTTATGCAAATGTTGGCGGTATGGAATTGGCATTTAATAACTGCCAACAGCAACCAGCGATGGAGGAGAGAGAGAGAACTTCTGGGTTTATCATCTGCATACAAATATACACCAACACTATCAACACATCGGAGCTCGAGGCAACCAACGATGGGGGAGAGAGAGAGAGCTGCCACCGCACTAGGGGATGGGGAGGGACTCACCGCCATGCCAGGGAGGGTGTCGCTGTTGAGCAGGATGCACTGGTCCGAGGGATCCAGCGAGAGAGAGAGAGAGAGAGAGAGAGAGCTGCCACCGCACTAGGGGATGGGGGGAGGGACTCACCGCCATGCCAGGGAGGGTGCCGCTGTTGAGCAGGATGCATTGGTCAGATCCGGTGGCGGCCGGATTCAACGATGGAGGAGAGAGAGAGAACCTTCTGGGTTTATCATCTGCATACAAATATACACCAACACTATCAACACATCGGAGCTCGAGGCAACCAGCGATGGAGGAGAGAGAGAGCTGCCACCGCACTAGGGGTGGGGAGGATGGAGGAGAGAGATAGAAAGAGAGCTGCCACTGCACTAGAGGATGGGGAGGGACGCACCGCCGTGCCAGGGAGGGTGCCGCTGTTGAGCAGGATGCGATGGAGGAGAGAGAGAGAGAACTTATGGGTTTATCATCTGAGTACAAATATACACCAACACGGCCCACTAACCGTGGGTCACCAAGGTCACATTGGGATTGCTCCCCCACAGACCCAATCGGAGCCACGACTTAAGGTCCTGGACCTACACAACACAAAAGACTAGTCAGATGGATAAGGACTGTCCTACCTTTTAAGTCGTGCTCCTCATCATCAATTACTGATGTGGGACTAAACCCAACACAAATTTTTATAGAAATGCGTTTAAACACATATAAAATCGATTGTTATCAGAGTACGTAAAGCTACCCAAACGTGCAGTATAGCTTAGAAAATCGGTCTTGTGGACCATTTTTCTCCACGCCACATCCCCATATGTCACTGCTATATATGCTGCATGCATTCCATCAATAATTTACTTGGGAACTACTCCCTCCGTCCCTAAATTGACGCCGTTGACTTTTTTAAACATGTTTGATCGTTCGTCTTATTAAAAAATTTAAGTAATTATTAATTCTTTTCCTATCATTTGATTCATTGTTAAATATATTACTACTACTCAAGTTTTTGAATAATATTCACGAAAGTTTTTGAATAAGACGAACGGTCAAACATGTTTAAAAAAGTCAACGGCGAACAGAGAGTGTATATTGCATATATCACGCGTGCCAAATAATTGACTGTAAGTGCTCTTGCACAAACTTTGTGACATTCAGTTTTTCTAACGAACACCATACTGTATTCCATTTATTAAATGGGAAAACCATACATGTATATTGGTATTAGTACATTAGAAAAAAAAACTCACAGCTTGCAAGTATGCATAACAAGTACAAACTCCATACCACTTATTTATGTTGTATATAAAATAAAAACATAGTCCGTAAGCCGATAATTTTTTAGGATAATTAGTAGTGGTTGTTCTCCCAGAACTGAGCCTGGAGCCAATCTATGGTTCCCTTTCCAACTTGGAATGCCTTTGCCAAAACTTCATCTGAGATTGGTGGCTTCGATCCAAAAACTGCATTTGCAATAGTGATGACACCAGGGTTTTGACTGCTAAGAGCAGCAATTGCAACTGCGGGTTGGTGGGGGTTAGGGTTGAATTGAAAGTGGATGAGTCCCACGGGGAACACAAAGACATCACCCTTGTTAAGTACCTTGGAGAATAGTGTGTTGTTTGGGTTAGATGTGACGAAGCCGACGTGAAGTGTTCCCTCAAGCACTGTGAGGATCTCAGTGGCACGAGGGTGCGTATGCGGTGGGTTCTGACCCAAAGGCGCATAGTCAATGCGAGCAATTGAGATGCCGAGCGTATTGAGTCCAGGGATCTGCATGACGTTGATCAATGTGACGTTGGATCCAACCTTGTTTGTCTTCCTAGGAGTGTCAAGCATGGCTGCCTTGAAGAAGTGGTCTGCTGTCACATACTTTGGGTCCAAGCAAGCAAATCCATTGACAAGCACTGTATCATAAAAAAAAGTTAACTTTTAAACACAACGCATATATTATATTTGAACACATCTATACGTGTTTCAATTACTACAGTTAGTTAAGTTGAATAATATGGCAAGTGTTTATGTGTGAAAAACAGAGTGTTTCTCATCATAAATGTAAAGCTAGAAAACATCTAAAATTAAGAGCATATGTGATATACCAGGCGAGTGCTTATCGGCAACGCAGAAGTCCTGCAGAGGGCTAGGGTCAGAAGCGATGGCCTGCCATGAGACCAAAGCAAGAAGAGCAGCGAAGAGGCAGAAGGACGGTGAAGCCATTTTTGGCTTTGGGTTTCTGCTATCTTCTCTACTGAATTATTTGCTGTTTCTCTTAGCTTGTGGCTGGCTAACTGCTTGTGTTTATCGCTGGGTGATGCTTTGGCTGTGCAGGATTTATGTGTTTATATAGCCGCTGGGCACGCCAGCGTGAGCTTGTGAACAACTGAACAAGTCAATTAAGCTGGACTGATGTCAGCTAGTAGACTGAAATGGTCTGCAATTTGCTGCTTGCAGGTTGATCTTTTCAGCTTAAAAATATGTATCAGCACTAATAACTAATCTGACGTGGTCGATTCTGTTTACACACATTTTGACGATGACACACACTAGCTATTTTGACGATGGCATTAGTTATGATCGGATCTGTACAGAAGAGCCAATCAGCGTGCATTAGCATCAATCAATGATCTGCATGCTAAGTCATGGAATTCTCGTTTCCGACCTTTTCCAATTACTTGGTCACCATTATCTTGGGACCAAATCAAATTGTCACCTCTCACGAAACATCGGATGCAATCTGAGATCAATTCAAATTTGCATTAGAGATTAAGCATCGCTGCTGGTTCATGGTGGTTGGATGGGTGTCTCTGCTTAATTAATTAAACCACTGGGTACGATAAAAGTAGAGCTACGGCGATGAGCTAAGTCGATCTAGATCGATCACCTCTTCCTCCTCTCTCTGTGATGTTGCTGTGATGTCGACGTCATATCTAGGTTGATGTTGTTGTGATTGTTGGTGATTTAGATTGATGTTGATGTGATTGTTGGTGATTTGTACGAATCCTTGATGACTGGGTGATCAATTTGTTGTTGATGACAACAAAACATATTGCAACAATTATATTGTGTGCTGTAAATAGGCATGCCTAGTTATCACTTCCTGTTTAAAACGTAGGAGAGGAGAGGGTGGGATGAGCGGGAGAGCCAGATTAAGCTCTCTCTTGCCGCATCCGGTGGCTGCAGCATTATGGAGAGGAAGAGAAGGCCACTGTTGCTCCTCACCACCGTGGAGGTCCTAAGTTCGGGGGCCACTGGATCTGGTCCCCGTGCCTCCTCGTCCACATCACGGGACATGATAGGAGAGGAGAGGAGAGGAGAGGAGAGGGAGGGGCGAGCATGATGGTGGAGGAAGATGCGACCACCTCTACACTGTTGCATCGACAAAACACAGAAACGCGGCGCCGCTGCGCCTCTATGCTGGTGGCCACCGTGCCCATGAGAGGCGTCCAATTGCCACTCGCCGACCGAGCAGAGGGACAGGAGAGATGGAGACGGGAGAGATTGAGTGCAGAGGGAATGAGAGATGGGAGAGACGAAGAAGATAAGGATAAGTGTGGGACTTATCCCACACTCCATACTCCACATGCACTCAGGCTCACCATTGAAGTGTCCTTTTTATTCCTTAATAAAACCAACACTTTTATCCTACGTATAGGTGTTGCTGTATTAAAAAAACCAACACTTTTATGATTAGTACTGTTTTTTTAAATAAACTAGCACCTATAAAGTGTTATAGGTACCAGATTTTAATTTCAGACCCACTTCGAGGAGTTGGTAGGATGAAAAAAAAAATCCTCATATGCGCCAGTTTTAGATGAACCAGCACATAAGAGGGCATGCCCTATTAGGGTTTTTTAAGTCGTGAATGCTCTGATGCCATCATTGTCAATATCCAAATTTACGTTATTCTGTATTTGTATTTCTGTAAGGACTCTAGACTCTTCTTTCAATATTCCTTACTTTTTAATTCCAAAATTTGTTTTTTCTAAATTATACTACTATATAGACTCAGACTCTTCTTCTAATATTTAGTATTTTTTAATTTCGAAATTTAATTATTTCTAAATTGTATTCCTATATGGACTCTAGATTCTTCTCGCAATCTTGTTTCTTTTTTTAAATTTTGAATTTTAGTTATTTCTAAATTATTTTCCTATATGGAATCTAAACTCTACTTTAATGTTCTTATTTTTAATTTGGACTTTCAATCAGTTATAAATTCCTATATGGACTAGAGTCTATACTCTTCTTCCAATATTATTTATTTTTAATTATGAATTTTCGTTATTCTAATTATATTTCTATATGGTCTCTAAACTCATCTTTCAATATTTTTTTATTTTTTAATTCCGAATTTTAGTTATTTATATTTGTATTTTTATATAGACTCTAAACTCTACTCTTAATTTTATTATGTTTATTATGAATTTTAAATAGTTCTAAATTCCTATATGGATTCTACCCTCTTCAATCAATATTACTTATTTTTAATTTCAAATTTCCATTATTTCTAAATTGTATTTCTATGTCTAAACTCTTCTTTCAATATTCCTTATTTTTAATTCCAAATGTCAATTATAAGTTGTATTTCTATATGGATTTTAACCTATACTTTTAATTTTCTTATTTGTAATTCTTAATTTCAATCAATTCTATATTGTATATCGGTATGGACTCTGGTCTTCTCTTCCAATGTTTCTTATTTTTTAATTGCTATTTTTAGCTATTTTAAATTGTATTTATATATGCACTCTTTTTTTATTTTTCTATGATTAATATGATTTATTTTTTTATCATGAGAGCGAACACGGAGGCTTTTTTTTTCTATTATTTTAGTAAGTTAATAGCCTATATAGCTCAACTAAGAAATAAACTTTTAACAATAAGTAAGATCTAAACATGATTAGAGAGGAAAGTTAGGCTCATGCCCTAGCTGCTCTAGGCTTTCCTAAGATCTAAACATGATTAGAGAGGAAAGTTAGGCTCATGCCCTAGCTGCTTTAGGCTTTCCTTTGTCCATGCCTAGATGTACTCTCATTCCCAAGAGCTAGCCATGTCGAGAGAAAGTTGATATTTGCCCCCATATGTTTAGAGTGATTTTGCACTACTCCAATAGTAATGGTTTTCCTAAGTCACTCAAGGCCGCAAAGTCTAAGAGTCTAACAGTAGATTTTTCAACAAACATGGTTGTTGAGGGATATCCACATGCTGACTAGAAGGGCAAGGGGTCAGCTACTGCACGCACTAGGGGTGTAGCACCCCATAAGCCCCCAGTTGACAGATTAAGTTTCAAATGGTTTCTACAATGCCAAGTAGGCTAGTTTCCTTCCAATTTTGCCACTTGTCCTAGATGGCTTCCGCAGGTGCTGTTCAGATTGTAGCCAAAATAAACCTTACCAAATTTTGGTATTGCCAAAATTTTGGTAAGTTGGCATATTACCAAAATGGCAGGATTTATGTATTTACCAAAGTTTGACAACAAACTAAACATAGGCATTTTTTTGACAACTTCCCCAAAAAATGGTATGGTAAAAAATAACATCAATCTGAACAACTCTTAGTCTCCACTACGGAGGCCAAACACACATGGAAGACATGGGCATCCTGTTCTTTCTATACCATCCATGAAATGATGAAACTAGGATCACATACATTCGCGTCAAAAATTTTCTTCTACCTCTTAGAGATGCCATTGCGCACATCATATCACTAGTACGGAAGAGCACATTTGTGCCGGTTCCAAAGGATCCAACAGTGTTGGATTTAGAACCGGCACCGCTTATCTGGCAAAGATGAGGGAGGATCATTAATGCCGGATGTGAGAACTGACACTGATGGCTTTCACCGAGTAAAAAGAAAAGCACTGAGCTGACTCTTCTAGCTAGAGGATTATAGAAACTAAATCCCATAATTACAAAATCATCCACATATATACCAGAATCTGTACATGCTTCAGGTCAAAAGAAAAATATATGAATCACAAATCCAAAAGGAAAAAAGAACTGGACCTCATCACAAATCCAACATGTGGAACTTCTTGTACTTCTTCTCATTGTCGACAGGATCAGCAGCGATAACTGGGAAAAGAGAGGGGAACACGGTGAGGTACCTAGGGCCTCGAGGTGGGGCGGAGGCCGTGGCACTCATCCATTCTCCAAGGAGAGGGCCGCCATCTGCCGCCATCATTGCCGAGGGGAAAATGGTGGAGATAAATCTCCAATCCCTCATGATGGCACCATTCTCGAAGGTACTTTCCATGGTTCTGTAGTCGTCATTGTGGCTACACCTACTCATGGTCACCATGGTGGAGCATCCTAACCATAGTCATCACATCAAGCTCAAGGCAGCCGGGGGAGGAGGAGATCAAGCTGCCACTGCACGGTGGGAGGGGGAGGGACAAGTTGCCCCATGCACCGAGGGAGGGGGAGGGACAACTTACCCCACGCTGATGACTAGGGGAGGGTGCTGCTCTTGAGCTGTCTGCACCGGTTGGATCCGGCGGCCCTCGAGCTCATGGCTGTCAGATTTAGTGGTCCTCAAACTCTTGTGAATCAGATCTAGCGGTCCTCGAGACCACCACTCAGCAAGGTCCATCTTACAACCATGTCCATGTTGAATTAATGTTTCCTCATGTTAGAATTTTCATGACAGTTAGAAGAGTGGATTTTCTATTTCTTTATCGTATATATATGATGCACGCCAAATAATTGATAGTACATAATCTTGCATAGCTTTGGGACGTTAAATTTTTGTAACAAACACCATATATTGCATTATATTTATTGAACGGTAAAACAATGCATGTACATCATTTCTTTAAAAAAAGCCAACACCTTGCGAATTTATAGGAAGAACAAAATACATACCACTTATTTATTTGTATGTAAAATTAAAACATAGAGTCCGTAAGCGGACAATATTTAGGACAATTAATAGTGGTTGTTCTCCCAGAACTGAGCCTGGAGCCAATCGATGGTGCCCTTCTCAACTTGGAACGCCTTTGCCAAAACTTTGTCTGAAATCGGTGGCTTTGATCCGAACACTGCATTTGCAATGGTGATGGCACCGGGGTTTTGGCTGCTTAGTGCAGCAATTGCAACCGCGGGTTGATGGGGGTTAGGGTTGAATTGGAAGTGGATGAGCCCCTCGGGGAATACGAATACATCACCCTTGTTGAGCACCTTGGAGAATAGTGTGTTGTTTGGGTTAGACGTGACGAAGCCGACATAGAGGGTTCCCTCAAGGACAGTGAGAATCTCAGTGGCACGGGGGTGCGTGTGCGGTGGGTTCTCACCCAATGGTGCGTAGTCGATGCGTGCAATTGAGATGCCAAGCGTATTGAGGCCAGGGATCTGCATGACATTGATCAGCGTGACGTTGGATCCAACCTTGTTTGTCTTCCTAGGAGTGTCGAGCATGGCTGCCTTGAAGAAGTGGTCTGCAGTCACGTACTTTGGGTCCAAGCAAGCAAATCCATTGACAAGCACTGTACAATACAAAGTTAACTTTTAAACACATGGCATATATACTATTTTAAAACACCTATACGTGTTTCAATTATAGCTAGAGATGTTAGTTATATTGAATAATCTCGTATGTGTATATGTGTAAAAAACATAGAATTTACAAACCATAGATATAAAGATTGAAAATGGCTGAATGCATGTATAACGTACCAGGCGAGTGTTTGTCGGCAACACAGAAATCCTGCAGAGGGCTAGGATCTGATGCGATGGCCTGCCAAGAGACCAATGCAAGAAGAGCTGCCAGTAGGCAGAAGGATGGTGAAGCCATTTGGCTTTGTGGTTACTTTTTTTCTGCTCTCTTTTGCACTGAATTATTTGTTCTTTCTCTGGTGGCTGAGAAGGTTAATTAGCTAGCTTCTAGCTAACTGCTTGTGTTTATCGTTGGGTGATGCTTTGGCTACGGAGGATTGATGTGTTTATATAGCCACAGGGTGCGGCAGCGTAAACTTGTGATGGAGAACAAGTCAATTAAGCTGAACTGATGTCAGCTATAGTAGAGTGAAATGGTCTGCAATTTGTTGCCTGCAGGTTGAACTTTTCAGCTTAAAAATACGTTTTGGCCCTACTTACTAATCTGACGTGGTCGATTGTGTTTATACACATTTTGACGATGACGTAGAGTAGTTTTTTCTCTCTCTCTTTTTGATGGGATCTGCATAGAACGGTCAATCAGCGTGCATCATCAATCAACAGCCTGCGTGCTTAGTCTTTGCACTATCGTTTCCAACCTTTTCAATTACTTGGTCACCATTATCTTGGGATCAAATCAATTAATTTGTCACCCCTCACGAAACATCGGATGAAATCTGAGAGCAATCCATGGTTAGGTGTTGACTGACTATAATAGAAAGGGCATGCAATCCCTATCGGCTCATCACTACCGGTTCTACTCGAGCTGGCTGGGCGGTTCATGTTGGATTGGTGGTTGGATGGGTTCTCTCCCTGAACCCACCATAAAATGATAGGGATATATTACAAACCGACAATGTTATCACTGTGATTTTTTAACATGAACAGGGAGTGAACCGAGCTGAGCCAAACAAAATCCCAAGCCCACGGCAAGCCCCTTATCGGCAGCACGTGCTATGAATGAGCCAAGCTTGTCTGCCCAGGCTCGAGCTTGACACAAGCATGATGAGCTGAGACTATTCTGCTTTTGAGCTTTTGAGCCAACCCGGTTCGAGCTCGGACATAAATAGTATAACGTTTAAGGCAAAAATGATTTTAAAGCATCGAAAGTTCACGCTTTTGGTTTTTTAGCACTGAAAGTTACTAGCTCACTTGATACCATTTAATAGAAATAACTATTTTCTAGCAAATCACACTAATAGAAGAGGAGAAACTATTTTGCTAATACATGCTAGCTGATTCATTGTGTATCGAATAAACAATAAAATTCATATGCAGTTAGACCCGTTAGAAGCTCACGGGCTTTAGTTTCGGCTCAGGCTCGGCTCGTTTGAAGCTCGAGCCGAGCTTGAGTGGCTCGTGAGCCTTGAGCCTTTTTGGCAGCCCTATTATTTGGCTTCTCTCTCAAAGGACACACCTTCTCCTTCCCCACCGATTCTCACTTCTCTTCCATGTCACGCAACACTCCCTTCCATGCCCTGAGAAGTGAGATCGGTGTCTCCTAAATCTAGCGGGAGCAAAGCAGCAAGTTTGCCGCTTAGATTTGATGTGAGGAGAGCAGAGAGGAAGAGGGGATGCACAGTAGATCCGATAGGCCCGGGGCCACTAGCTCTTTCCCCCACCTCGCCGCTTACAACCCATCGGGGAAGGGATAGGAGGATGTGGGAGGTCGGGGCGGATTTGGCAGCAGCTCAATGCTGCTGGCCAGGGGCTCAACGACGAGGGTCTTCCTCGATGGCGGTGGAAACATCTAAAGGGAGATCCACAATATGACAGCCGCAGCTCAAGAAGATGACAACGGTGTCGGCTACACAAGAATTACCATGGTGGTGGACCCTCTCCACCAAGCGTCCGAGCGATAGCAACAGCCCCCTCTACACCGAGCGATTGCGACGGCCATCTCTCCACTAGGTATGGCAATGGTTCAATGATAGTAGATGTACATGAACTAGCTAAGTCTAGAGATCTCCTCTTCCACCCTGTCTCTCAGTGATGTTGCTATGTGATGTCGATGTTACCAAATCTAGATTGACGTTGCTGTGATGGTGGATGATTTAGGTTGATGTTGATGTGATTTTTGGTCATTTGTATGAACTATTGATAACTTGGTGATTATTTTGTGGTTGATGACAACGAAGAATCTTTTGTGCGATGTAACTAGGCAATAAGCATGCCTATTTATCACTCCTGGTTTAAAACCGGCAGTGATACTCTGAGGCCATCACTGCCACATGCGGTCTGTCAACCATCACGGCCACTTTCTTTTTCTACTCCCTCCGTCTCTAAATATAAGGGACTTTAGTTGGATGTGACATATCCTAGTACAACGAATCTAGACATCTCCTCCTGTCTAGCTAGTACTCCCCCGTCCCTAAATATAAGGGATTTTGGTTGGATGTGACATATCCTAATACAACGAATATAGACAGATATATTTGTTGTACTAGGATATGTCACATCCAACCAAAATCCCTTATATTTAGGGACGGGGGAGTACTAGCTAGCGTGAGATCGGTCAATGCATGCACATATAGATACATCCAACCTACACCCTCCGTTCAAAAATAAATTCATTTATTGATTTATGTGTCTAATATTTAACTATTCGTATTAATGATTATTATTTTTATTGTTATTAGATAATAAAATATAAATAATACTTTATGCACGACTTACTTTTTTTTAATTTTTTTATAAATTTTTTAAATAAGACGGATGTTACTTATTTAATTTGGGACGGATGATATACGTCAGAAACACATGTGAATCCATTAGGAAGGAGAGTACCGGTCGTGAACGGGTCATGACAAGGACATCACCAGGAGCTTACTATCCTCTAGCATAGTTAACTTTGTCACTGATGATGCACTCTGCAGACTCGTCAAATATTTACTTGGTCAGGCCATGCATTTTTCTTGGGAGTGGTTAATTACTTTCACCAGCAATATTACACATGAGTATAACAAAGACTACAGTTTTTTTTCTCGGGAATAAATACAGTCTAATAGTACCGGTTTTCCTAAGTCATTGTGGACCATACTGGTACCGGCATGCATGCAGGCTAGCTTTCACGGTTAGCTTAATAATAGTAGAGAAATAAGATTAATTATTTGGAAGCTTAGGATGCCTCTGAAGATTAAAATCTTTAGTTGGTACTTGCTTAAAGGGGTAGTGATAACTAAAGATAATTTGGCAAGGAGAAATTAGAATGGTAGTTTGAGATGCTGTTTCTGAATGAAAAATGAAATTATTCAACATCTTGTTATGGAATGCCATTTTGCAAAGTTTATTTGGGGAATAGTTCAGTTCTATTTTAGTCTTTACCCTCCTAATAGCATATCTCATGTTGTTGATGATTGGCTTCTCGGGGCGGACAAGAAAAATAGGAAACCTATTCTTATAGGAGCTTCTGCTATATGTTGGGCTCTATGGTTAAGTAGGAATGATATGATTTTTGACAAATCATCATCTGTTTTATATATGTAGATAATTTTCAGGGTAACACATTGGCTTAGGTCTTGGCACAACTACAAAAGTGTGATGAAGAGGGGCGAGTGTTTAAAAGTTGCATGTCGTAATCTTAAGACAACAGTTATATAACTATTTATCAATTTTGGATGAAGATTCACAAAAAATGTGTAGTCCTTATCTTGGGTCGGTAGTTTTTAGTTTGCTTTTTCTTCACGGTTGGTGTCTTCTTTTTTTTTTACGTTGTAATACTTGGTCGTAGCTCGTTGAGTAAAAGCCGGGATATTATATTCCATTATCCAAAAAACATTATCTATCTTTTTCGCTGGGCTGGCAGAATACGTGCAAACTTTGATTGAGATTGATGGAAACATTGAATATTTTTCAACAAATTGGTCGATTGTGTTTTCACATATTTTGACGATCGACGACGTACTAGTAGTTAATTTTCTCTGTCTTTTTGGAAGAAGGCATGCATGGTAGTAGTTATGAATCATCAAATCCATCCACGTTTCCAACCTTTCCAATTACTTGGTCACCATTGTCTTTTGGATCAAATCAAATTGTCACTCCTCACGAAACATCGGATGCAATGCATGACGAACAATATTAGGAGAACTGTCACAATCTGGATTTTAAAGAAATCCAGTGAGAGATATATTGCTAGCTAGCTAGTTTGCTTTATAGACTTGTTCAGCACATAACCACATGCAAATAAATACAGAAATTTATTATCGTGTCACACTAGGTAGTATTTTTTTTTCTAAAATATGCATATATATGGAATAGACATTGTTAATTTCTTCCAAAATATAAGAACCATGTTTCCTATGTAATAGTTATCCATTCATGTAGGTTAATCGACATTTTTTTTCAGGACTATAATTTATGTGCAAACTTTAATTTAGCTATATATGCATTAGGGATTTGACACAGTGTTATATTACTTTATCTAGGAGGCAACTGGTACTGGTAAAAAAAAAACAAATGCTACTGATTTGGGTCGGCTCATACTCATAGTCATAATAATACTCGTAGTCATAATAAGTTCAGCCAAGTTAGATTCTTAGCTCGTGAGCTTAATGAGCTAGTGCGAGCTGCTGGTTTTGCTCGTTAGTACAACAAATCACGCAATATCTTTGTACTTAGTGTTTCTTAACTAGCGCTTAGCCTTTAAGTTAATTTACGTCCAAACTACCTATTTGTATTCAGTGAGTTCTTTATTTGTTAGCTTTTATTATTATATGTTAATATATGATAAAATAGTAAATATGAAATTATAAAGATGATATAAATGTGTTAACAAGCCTAACGAGCTTAACAAGCTAGCTAAAGGGTGCATATGAAATTATAATGTAACCTACAATAGTTTCTTTTATTGGAATTTTATGATACTATAATTATAAATGTTTTGGAGGATTTAGGAAACACTAGCCAAGTGCCCATACGTTGCAATGGAAAACAAGTTAAATTTTTAGCTTATTAATTCAATTAAGCACATATTTAGTCTAAGTAGTACTTTTATAATTTTCCTTATCGAACGGGTAGGTGATTTTAAAATTTAAGTAGAGCCAACAGTGAAATGGGAGATGAGTCATTGGACAGTGGTGTAATAGTATAGATTTTGAGACCTAAATATCAGTGGTAATGGTGGTGTGAAAAACGGACACCACCACAATTAACATTTTAAGTTTAGGAAGCATTTCTTTCATTAAAATGTCTGGACAGTTAACTTTGAGATGCACTGTCTCCATCAAACATTGACGTGAACTTTATGCAACCATTCTCCAAACAAGGACGAAGTAATACCAATGTTTTCCTTTATTACCTTTATAACAGGGGATACCACACTAGAACAACATACAAAGCCTTTTCCCAACAAAATAATGTATTGTTGATGTGCTTGCAAGCACACATAATTAAGCCGACTAGAAATACAAATTTATTTTATATATTGCAGAATAGAAACTTATACATAGTATAACAACACATATACTTTGTTTAGATTTAGTAGTGGTTGTTCTCCCAAAACTGAGCCTGGAGCCAATCAATGGTGCCCTTCTCAACCTGGAATGCCTTTGCCAAAATATCATCTGAGATCGGTGGCTTTGATCCGAACACTGCATTTGCAATGGTAATAGCCCCAGGGTTTTGGCTGCTAAGTGCAGCAAGTGCAACCGCAGGCTGATGGGGGTTAGGGTTGAATTGGAAGTGGATGAGCCCCTCAGGGAAAACAAACACATCACCCTTGTTGAGCACCTTGGAGAATAGTGTGTTGTTTGGATTAGATGTGACAAAGCCGACATAGAGGGTTCCCTCAAGGACTGTGAGGATCTCAGTTGCACGGGGGTGTGTGTGCGGTGGGTTCTCACCCAAGGGTGCGTAGTCGATGCGTGCAATTGAGATGCCGAGTGTATTAAGTCCAGGGATCTGCATGACGTTGATCAGTGTGACATTTGATCCAACCTTGTTTGTTTTTCTAGGAGTGTCGAGCATGGCTGCCTTGAAGAAGTGGTCTGCATTCACGTACTTTGGGTCCAGGCAAGCAAATCCATTAACAAGCACTGTGTCATGCAAAAGTTAACTTTTAGAAACAAGGTTTACATATACGTGTGTTTGAATTACTAGATGTTAGTTAAGTTCAATATTCTCACCCATATGTACATGGGTGAAATTAAAACATAGAATTTCATATCATAGATACAAAGCTAGAAACTTGTCTAAAAGAACATGTATATATACCAGGTGAGTGCTTATCGGCAACGCAGAAGTCCTGCAGAGGGCTAGGATCAGAAGCGATGGCCTGCCACGAGACCAACGCAAGAAGAACAGCGAGGAGGCAGAAGGAAGATGGTGAAGCCATTTGGCTTTGGTTTTCTGTTCTCTTCTCTACTGAATTATTTGCTGTTTCTCTGGTGGCTGAGAAGCTAGCTAGCTAACAGGTTGTGTTTATCGTTGGGTGATGCTTTGGCTGTGGAGGATTGATGTGCTTATATAGCCGTAGTGGCGCGGCAGCGTGAACTTGTGAACAACTGAACAAGTCAATATTGAGCTGGACTGGTGTCAGCTAGTAGACTGAAATGGTCTGCAATTTGCTGCCTGCAGGTTGAACTTTTCAGCTTAGAAATTATATGTCTGCAGACGTGGTCGATCGTGTTTACACACATTTTGACGACGACGCGTAATAGCATCCCGATGGACGATAGTCCACGTATATTTGGAAGAAGTCACTGTAGTTGTTATGATCTGATCAGCACATTATTGAAAGGTCCAATTTGTGTGCGTCATCGATTGATCAATGACACACTATATATCATTTCCAACCTTTTTGATTACTTGGTCACCTTACAAAGGCCTCTGGGCACTGGCCGCCTACGTAGATGCATTTGGTTGCCTGCGAAATCGTTTTTCTTGTACTCCCTCCGTTTCAGGTTATAAGATATTTTGTTTTTGCTCAAAATCAAACTATTTTAAGTTTGACTAATTTTATAGAAAAAAGTAGTAATATTTTTAACCCAAGATAAATATATTATGAAAATTTATTCAATTATAGATTTAAAGAAACTATATTGGTGTTGTAAATATTACTACTTTTTTTCTACAGAACTAGTCAAACTTAAAGTAGTTTGACTTTGACTAAAGTCAAAACGTCTTGTAACCTGAAACGGAGGTAGAGGGAGTAGTGAATTAGTGACTGTCACCGCTCACGTAACCATGTGGTTGCCACGCATGCATGACAAACAATATTAAGAGAACCGTCGCAATCTGGCTTAAGAAAACGCTTTCTTGTGAGCGTTTAGTCAAGATTTGTTCACGATATAACTATTACTTGTAACATTGTGTAGCAATATGTTATTATGCCACATTAGCTAGCTATTTTTTTTAAAAAAATCTGCATATATATGGATTATGGAATATATATTAATTGTTGATTTCGTTTAAAAATAACACCGTACCCTTATATATTTTTTCTGTGTAAAAGTTATATATCCATCCATGCAGGTAAATCGACCACTGTTTTATGTATGTAGTACTATATATACAAACAGTTCTCTCATGCAGCTTGCTAATAAACCCTAACAACGGTGTATGTACCCAACCACATGAAAAGTGCTACTGTACCACCCCGGCATGAAGGAACACCTTTATAATTATAGAGGGTGGAATTAGTGTGCAAATTTTAGTTATTCATACATTAGGGATTTTAGATGACATCTTACATACTACTTACTATCTTGGAAGCAACCGGTGGCACTCTTTATTTTGTGGGGCTTTGTTGCCACCCTCTCTCCTTGTGCTCCCCTTGTCACCTCTTCTTTATCGGCCTTTGCCATCACCCATGTCCAATGGAGCAATGGGATGTCGATTCACTGGCTCACTGCGTCACCCTCCCTATCTTCCCTAAATCTTATTGTCGCTTGTCCCAACTGTTCACTCTGCTCATCACTTGCCAAGCTTGTGGCTCCTGCTCCCACCGCATCTGTCCAAAGATGCCACACCACCAGCCTTCAATTTCATTTGGCAAGGCTACCATTGCCAAGAAAAGAAGCCATGCAGCAAGGTGGAAGGGCATTGTGGATATGGTGCCATTAAGGGAAAACAACACTAGGAGTGTAATCGGAACGGATACGATTAGATAGCTCTGTTTTATGTCCAATATTTTTCTTTAGAGTCGGAATTGGGGAAAGGTAGTGCCGGATATCCCATCACTTATTCTGTATCATACCCTTTTTTCCCTCGGAATTGAATCAGGAACGCATATCTATTCTTATGTCTAATATTAGGATATTAAGCCTAGCTAGGGATGTAATTAGAATGTAAAAAAGAACTATTAACAATATATCTAGGAAAAGAATCAATATTGTTAATGGGCCCATAAATAAATGATGGTTACTCTATATTTTATCATGTTTCTAAGTGGAGTCGTAATATATTTTGTTAAATGTTCGATAGTACGGTACATATAAACAGATACTACTCGTCCTTCCTTGGATATTGTCAGGTATTCATTTTGTTCTCCAGCGCGTATGTCCCATAGTTAGTCAAATACAGAAGGCTTTTGCATGAATAAACAAACACACGTTCTTTATCATCGAAAATCAAATTTATAAACGTTTTGGTTAAGAAGCATATATTTTTGCACCGGAATTTATGATATTATATTGGAATTTATGAATATATAGCGCATAGATGTTTACATTGGAAATTATGATAGTATGTATAAACGTTTTGGTCAAGAAGCATTCTTACAAATGTCTGTAGGATTATCTTTGGGACACATCATCAATGTTATACTTTTGCGAGGATTTTATGCAACATTTCATCAAAACAAAGGCAAAATAATACCAATGCTTTACTTTATTAGAGGGAATATCACATGAGAAGAACATACATAGCCATTTCCCAACAAAAAACTGTGTTGTTGGGTTGTTTGCAAGCACACATAATTAAGTTGTCTAGAAATACAAATTTATTTTATATGTTATAGCACATAACTGATTCACGGTATGCCAACAAACATACTCAGTTTATATTTAGTAGTGATTGTTCTCCCAGAACTGAGCCTGGAGCCAGTCTATGGTGCCCTTCTCAACCTGAAATGCCTTTGCCAAAACTTCATCTGAGATTGGTGGCTTTGACCCGAAAACCGCATTTGCAATGGTGATGGCACCAGGGTTTTGGCTGCTAAGAGCAGCAATTGCAACCGCGGGCTGGTGGGGGTTAGGGTTAAATTGGAAGTGGATGAGCCCCACGGGGAATACAAAGACATCACCTTTCTTAAGGACCTTTGAGAATAGCGTGTTATTTGGGTTGGATGTGACGAAGCCAACGTAGAGTGTTCCCTCAAGCACCGTGAGGATCTCGGTAGCACGGGGGTGAGTATGCGGTGGGTTTTGTCCCAAAGGCGCATAATCAATGCGTGCAATTGAGATGCCGAGCGTGTTGAGGCCAGGGATCTGCATGACATTGATCAGTGTGACGTTAGATCCAACCTTGTTTGTTTTCCTAGGAGTGTCAAGCATGGCTGCTTTAAAGAAGTGGTCCGCGTTCACGTGCTTTGGGTCCAGGCAAGCAAATCCATTGACAAGCACTGCATGCATAGAAATATTAGTTATAACTACCATGCTTATATATGTTATTTGAACACATCTATACATGTTTCAATTACTATATGTTAGTTAAGTTGAATAATCTCGCATATGTTCCATAGCATTTCAGATCATGGATACAAAGCTAGAAAATATCTCAAAGGGCAGATATAATATACCAGGCGAGTGTTCATCAGCAACACAGAAGTCCTGCAGAGGGCTAGGGTCAGATGCAATGGTCTGCCATGAGACCAACGCAAGAAGAGCAGTGAGGAGACAGAGGGAAGAGGGTGAAGCCATTTGGCTTTGGATTTCTGCTATCTTTCTCTGATGGGAAGCTAACTAATATTGCTTGTGTTTCTCTTGGGGTGATGGTTTGGCTATGGAGGATTGATGTGTTTATATAGCCGGGGCACGCGGCAGCGTGAACTTGTGAATATTGGAACAAGTCAGGCTGAACTGATGTCAGCGACTGAAATGTTCTGCAGCCTGCAGGTTTCTGAAGGTTGCAGGTTGAACTTTTCAGCTCAAAAGTATGTATCTGCGCTACTAATTAAGGCCGAGTTGAGATCCAAAGTTTTTCTTCAAACTTTCAACTTTTACATCACATCAAAACTTTCCTACACACATAAACTTTCAACTTTTCTGTCACATCGTTCCAATTTCAACCAAACTTTCAATTTTGGAGTGAACTAAACACACCCTAACTAATCTGAAGTGATCGATGGTGTAGATACAGGGTGTGTTCAGTTTACGCCAAAATTAAAAGTTTGGTTGAAATTGGAATGATGTGATGAAAAGTTGGAAATTTGTGTGTATAGGAAAGTTTTGATGTGATGAAAAAGTTGGAAGTTTGAAGAAAAATTTTGGAACTAAACTCGGCCACCTTTTTAATCACTTTGGTTAATATTTTCTAGCCGTCGACATAAAATTATTGTCACCCCTCACGAAAGCTTGGTTAATTGTCATGCATGACAAAAATTATTAGGAGGTTTACTGTCACAATCTGGCTTAGAAAATTGAACGCTTTCTTTTGAGCGGTTAGTCAGGACAAGTTCAATAACCTTACATTGCTACTTTGCTATTTTATTGACTTGTTCATAAAAGAACCATCACATGTAAAAATATACAGCATTATATATTAATTATTAATTGTTCCAAAGTAGATAGCAATTAATTGTTTCTTAAAAACATATCTGCATATACAGAATTAATCGATATTGTTAATTTTGTTCAAAACGTAAGACCCATATGTTTTCTATGTGAAGGTTATAAGTTAGTGGAGGTTAATTTTTTATTGTTTTCAAGCCTGGTACATATGAGCGCTCATCTCGCTAGTATATTTACATAAACTAGGCGCCAACCCATGTTTATATTACACAGGCAAATACTTCCTCCGTTTCATATTATAAGACTTTCTCGCATTACCCACATTTATATATATGTTAATAAATCTAGATATATATGTGTGCCTAGATTCATTAGTATCTATATGAATATGAACAATGCTAGAAAGTCTTATAACCTAAAACGGAGGTGAATGTAGTATTATTAATATTATAAATATTAAAATTTACTTCCTCCATCCCAAAATATAGCAATTTGGGACTGGATGGGACATATCCTTGAATGAATCTGGATAAGGGCTGTCTAGATTTGTTTGACTAGGATATGTCTAATCCAGTCCTAGATTATTATATTCTGTGACGGAGGTAGTACATATTTATTTGAATACATTATTTTTAAATTATTTCAAAAGTTATATATAAACTTTGTTTCAAAGTTCTAAGATACGATAACCTACCTTAATATTTATTCAGTGTTCCAGAAATTAAACGACATTTTGTTAAAAAAATAAGGCACCTAATTTCCGAGTAGTTAGAGTTTACACTGCATTAATTAATACTCCATCCATTTCATAATATAAGGCACAACCACTTTTTTTAGATGTTCCATAATATAAGGGCACCCACAATGGTTATCTATAAGCTCTCTACAAGAGATCCATGTCAGCATATTTTCCTACTTGGAAGAGATTAAATGAAGAGAGAGAGCAAAGCTATCTACTAACATGGAGATAGTCTATAGAGAAAAACGAGGCAATGGATTAGAGAGCTATAGATACCCATGTAGACATACCATTGAAGTGGTTTACTATTAATCTAGTCTATTGTTGAGGTGTACATGTTTTATATATAGCACCTTACTTTACCATTGCGGGTGCTCTAAGGCGTGCATGCATGTAGGCCATTAACTATGATCCTTTCTCTATTAAATTATTACTTTTTTAAATCATCCACTTTCATGTTCTCTAATTCTATTGAATGCATACATTGTATTTATTAGGATGATCCAAATTACAAGATGATAATAATTATTTTTTTGGTATTTGGGTTAGGGGTGGTTATACCTTATATTTTGGAATGGAGGGAGTAACTAATAGGTCATACACCTATCCAATGGTGATATGTGATAGCAATGGTCTGTGAGTGATCGTTCGGTCAATGCACGCATGATCCATTCGTACGGACACTGACAGACCGTACCGATCATGAGAATGACACATGACCAAGAGATTATAATTAATACTTTTACTTTAGCACCTAGTACTCCATAATACACAGATATCATAAATAAACATTTTCGTACCAATTACTCGGAGAGTTTTCCAATAGTATTTACTTGGTCACACACTTTTATTGGGAGTGGTTACTTTGGGCGCGGCATGTGCGGACTCGGACTTCCATTTGTGACGTTAATTGCTTGTACGTTTTCATATGTGATCGTGCTCCTCATTTCAATTCGAAGTGGCTTGTTTTTTAAAAAAGGAGAGAGAGAAAAAAAAGAAAGTTTCAGGTAGTGTTAATAAAACTTTAAGTATATCTAAGGTTTCAAAATTTAAATTGAAAGTTTCACAAATTAAAATTAAAAGTTTTAGAAAATAATTAGTTGAATGTTTTAAATTTTGAGTAGAAAGATTCAAAGTTTATCTACTTGTATAAATTTGAAGTTGAATTACAAAAATCAACCTACGCCGTGTTTTTAGTTACAAAGTTTTTCTTCAAATTTCCAACTTTTCCACCACATCAAAACTTCCCTACACACATAAACTTCCAACTTTTCCGTCACATCGTTCCAATTTCAACTAAACTTTCAATTTTGGTGTGAACTAAACACAGCCCTAATTGCTAAAAAAAACTAAAATTGGAAATTGTCCTTGGGACATGAGGCCTGCTACCTGCAACTGCCATTCGTCTTTCCTGAGCAACTATGAAAAAAAAGGGAAACATTGTGCTTGTGAAAAATTGAGATCTGATTGATTTCTACTTCATATTAACCACCCACTCTACTCTCCATGTCCACCTCTCCTCCAGGCTCTATGTGCCTCCATCACTGCCATCCTAAATATTGGACCTAGCCTACCTCACTGTACTTAACCTTGAAACATCTCAAGTAATGTACCAGGCAATACCATTGTCGGTGCCAAGGCCACCCATTGCTCCATCAGCCATTTCCACTCCTCTGGTGAAGCTAGTGAGAAGTCGACTATTGGCGTCACCATGTATAAGGCTCTCTTCCTCACCATAAATCTCATCGCCATATGTCCCTACCGTTGATCCTACTCACTACTCGTCTTAAAGCTTGTGGCTCTTCCTACCACCGCATTTGTCCAAACCTAGCCTAGCATATACTCTCTCTCCTCTCTCTGTGTGTGTCCACCAGTTGTCATCAACAAAGCGATCTTTAAGCTTATTCAGTAAGCCTAGCTACAGATTGAGAGAAAGCATGCAGCAAGATAGAGGGCATGTTTAGTTCACGAAAAGAAAAGTTTTGGGTGTCACATCGGATGTTTGACCGGATATCAGAAGAGGTTTTTGGACACGAATGAAAAAACTAATTTCATAACTTGCCTGGAAACCACGAGACGAATCTTTTGAGCCTAATTAATCCATCATTAGCACATGTGGGTTACTGTAACACTTATGGCTAATCATGGGCTAATTAGGTTCAAAAGATTCGTCTCACGATTTCCCCCCTAACTGTGCAATTAGTTTTTTAAATATATATTTAATGCTCTATGCATGTGTCAAAAGATTCGATGTGATGTTTTTGAGAAATTTTTTGGAGAATTAAACCAGGCCAAAATCGAAGGGCACTACGCGTTCGGATATGGCATCACCTAGGGAAGACGTACACCACCAGCAATTAGCGAGAGGAATAGGTATGGAGTGAGAATGAACGAACAAATGCTAGTCCTTTGTGAACTTAATGTTTGGGGAAAATCAAATTTCTACAATAGTTAATTAGTTTGGAATTTATGATATAATATTTATAGGATGTTTTGGTCAATTAGGAAGCATTCATATAAAAGATTTGGAAAATTAATTTTGGGAGATACATCATCATTGCCAACTTTTATGAGAGCTTTACGCAATATTTTCTCCAAACAAGGGCAAAATAATTTATATATCAATATTTTCTTTCATTAGAGGAAATAATGCAGGAGGTGAATTTTGTTTATTCGTGACTCAAAGGAAGAATTTGGAACGCTTGCAAGCCCACGTAATTAATTGGTCCAGAAATACAAATTTATTTTATATATTGTAACACAAAAGCTAATACATTGTATACAAATAAATATTCAAATTTAATTAGTAGTGGTTGTTCTCCCAGAACTGAGCCTGGAGCCAGTCTATAGTACCCTTCTCAACTTGAAATGCCTTCGCTAAAACTTCATCCGAGATTGGTGGCTTTGATCCAAACACTGCATTTGCAATGGTAATGGCACCGGGGTTTTGGCTGCTAAGTGCAGCAATTGCAACAGCAGGCTGATGTGGGTTAGGGTTGAATTGGAAGTGGATGAGCCCCTGAGGGAACACGAACACATCACCCTTGTTGAGTACCTTGGAAAATAACGTGTTGTTTGGGTTAGATGTGACGAAGCCGACATATAATGTTCCCTCAAGCACCGTGAGGATCTCAGTGGCACGGGGATGTGTGTGCGGTGGGTTCTGTCCCAAGGGTGCATAGTCAATGCGCGCAATTGAGATGCCGAGTGTGTTGAGACCAGGAATCTGCATGACGTTGATTAGGGTGACGTTGGACCCAACCTTGTTTGTTTTTCTAGGGGTGTCAAGCTTGGCTGCCTTGAAAAAATGGTCTGCATTCACTTCCATTGGGTTCAAGCAAGCAAATCCATTGACACGCACTGCATACATCAAAGAACTAAGTTGTGAGCTCAAGGCTTATAAAGTGATATTTCAACGTAGATATACATTTTACTTTGCTAGAATAATCTCACATATATAGTAGTGACTAATAGAGTTTCAATTTGGACCATAGGTACAAAGCAGGAAAGTAAATTTTCTGAAAGAGCAAATATAATATACCAGGTGAGTGCATATCGGCAACGCAGAAGTCCTGCAGAGGACTAGGATCAGAGGCCATGGCCTGCCATGAGATCAACGCGAGAGCAGCGAGGAGACACAAGGAAGAGGGTGAGGCCATTCGGCTTTGGATTAATTTCTGCTCTTCCTCTTGCTGAATTATTTGCTGTTTCTCTAGCTGAGCTAGCTAGAATTAGTTACTGCTTTGTTGGGTGATGGGTTTAGCAATGGAGTTTTGATGTGCTTATATAGCTGCAGGGTGTGGCTTTGGTGAACTTAATTGTGAAGAACAGAACAAGTCAAATAAGATGAAGTGATGATGTCAGCTAGATTGAAATGGTCTGCAGCCTGCAGGCAACAGGTTGAACTCTTCAGCTTAAAATATCTTCCTGCTCTACTAACTACGTGGTCAAAATTGTGTTTATACATTTGAGAATGCCATAGTAGGGTTTTTTTGTTTTTTTTTCAAAAAAGAAGACGTAGTGGTTATTGTGTGTTCTGCAAATTAAAGGGGGCAATATGTGTACATCTTTAATCAATGACCAGCATTGCCAAGTCAGTACTCAAACCATCGTTTCCATCCTTTTAATTACTAGAAAAAATACCCGTGCGTTGTAACTGATGAAGCTATTTTAATCTTATTATTGTTATATGGTTTAGTTAAGATGAAATTCACTATGTTAAATTCGCTTGGATATATATTTTGTTAGAAAATCATGAGCTTCGTCTCAAATTAATGTGCTAGTTTTTGAAAGAGATTTCTTATACGATTCCTTCTACGATTCCTTCTGTATTTGTAAAAGTGAACGAATTTAAAAATCAACTCAACTACGAATTTGTATTTCCAAAAGCGAATGAATTTAAATACCGACTCATACACGGATGGTATACCAAGTACCGACAAAAACATCTTTAATTTTTACAATAGTAGAGACTTGGTCTCACCATTGTCATTGCACCAAATCTAATTGTTATTCCTCACGAAACATTGGATGCAATGTATATAAATCCGGATGGCAAATAATAGGAGAACTGGCACGATCTGGATTACAAAAAAAAAAAAAACGCTTTCTTGTGAGCGGCTAGTACGTCCAGACAAGTTCAACAATCTATATTTCGAGCTAGCTAGTTATAGCTTAATTGACTTGTTCACAACATAAATGGCCATCACATATTCACACACATGTAAATTACATACAGAAATATATTATTGTGTTAGACTTGCTAACACCTTTTTTAAGAAAAACTCTCTACTTTTGGGTGTAGAGGCCAGGTTTTAATCCATTTTCTAAAAAAATGGAATATATATTGTTGATTTCTTTCAAAATTAAATATCAGACCATTGCTTTTTCTGTAAAGGTAATCTTTAATTTTAACCGACCATTCTATTAGTCTGGTATACAATAATGCAAACATCTAGCACACCTTGATATAATTATCCCTAACAATAGTAGGTGCATGCTCACTGCTTGGCTAGCTGCAAAGTGCTAGCTTTGTCACAAGCAGGCTAGCTCCTCATGCCAACACCAATGACATGATGGAAATCCTTTAGTTGCATAAGGTAGAATTTTGTGTGCAAATTTTGGCTACTAAATTATGCATTAGGGATTCTCTATGAGTGGTTTCTTGGAGCATCACCAAGAGATTACATATAATCTCCCCCAAAAATTTATTTTTGGGTTTCCTAAACTGAAAATAGGTAGCTAAAAAACTGACCTCTCCAAGAGAACGCCTAAATTTTATCCCAAAATTAAAAGTGGGCCCATCTGATAGACTAACACCAGATTTTTCTCGTTTTCCTCCCTTTCTCTCGCGCTCCCAACGCTCCCTCCCCGCTCATGTGGCGCTCCCCCTAGGAAAAATCACGTGCGAATGAGAGATTGGGGATGACAGACATGTCATCACTCTCCCTCAAATGAACAGAACGAAGAATTGGGGATGAAATAAGGGAACTGTTGGTGATGCTCTTACTGCTTCATCTGGTATGTATGGCACACTCTATGTTAGCCCCTCTCTCTCTCCTTATACTCATATCCACCTTCACCACTCTCCGAGCTGATCAGTGTGCCTCCATCAACCACTTTAGTTTTTAATCTTTTTATTTGTTTTGAATCTAGACATTAATTTTGAGTCGTTGTCTCACAATTCATGGATTCCCAAATCTCTTTCATTGACATGAAAAGTTTCTACCAAGTGGCCCTTACTTATAGAGTATATATGTACATAGATGGAGATAAATTTGATATATCGATGTGAAATTACGCCTTTCGATTAAGCTACAAATCTATTTAATTCCTGGACTTTTTTATTTATCTAAAACACATCCTCGAATTCTAAAACTGGGTACACGGTTGAGATTTGAGAAGACGAATGGGAGAAATGCCGCGTACCCGTGACCTAGCTAGCTCCTTCCGTTTTAGGCCCATTTATCATTCCCTTCTCGGGCTCGGCCCATCCACCATTTTCTTTTCAGGAGCTGATCTGCTTTCCTGTACGCACGGGCCTCTTTAATTTGGCGGCACGTCACAAATAAAGCCCATTAACCAGTGTTCTGATCCGGCGCCGACGACGGCGAGCCGCCGGAGCCAGTACATATTGCTACGTTGGCAACAACCGAATTGACGAATTAATCCTCTCAGCTGTGCAGTGAAGCTGAACTGAAATAATTTTTTTATCGATCGTTGGCAGTGAGCTGAACTGAAAAATCCAAATGCAGGGTTGCATCTCGCCGGCGAGCATGTCGGTGCACCAGGGAGGCCATCTTGGCCTCTGCTCCTGCGGCGATGGCCGGCGTTCATCGCCGTCGTTGCCTCCTCACACAGCGAGCTCTCTGCAGGTGACCGACAGTTGTAATGTCCAGACTCTCCAGAGGCTGACGACAATGGTTCATAGGCCCAGCTCAACCGAGGGACTATAGAACCATTTTGGGATCTCGGCGTTGGAAGCAGCTCAACGGGTCAAGTACCCCCGAAATTTTTGATAATTTGATCTTTTCAAAAATTTATCTAAAGAATAGATCATGTAAAAAAAATATTATAAAATTAAGCCGAATCCTCAACGTGATGGATCTTAGCACTAAAGCCCAACATATTAGTGCCACGGGTCTTGGCGATGACCTCATACCCTCAGCGCCAAGGCTCATAACGCTGAGTTCTATACTCTTCAAAAAGTTTAGAGTTCCACCTCTGTACAAGTATTGTGTGGACTAATGGTCAATTGACTCCTCTTCCAACCCAGTGATTTGAGATTGAATCCCACTCGCATCGCACCTCCCACCCCCTTCGCGTCGAGGCGAAGATAGAAGAGCGTACTTTTTTTCCCTTGGCCATTTTTTTAGCGAATAAAAGAAGGCGGCGAAGAAAAAATAGAAATGATTATTTTCTCTTCGCCATTTTCTTCGAGTGAATAAAAACTTTGGAACTGATGGGGTTTGAACCCAGATCACTAGACATGTCCTACCACTACACCATATACTTGGGTATGATCCAAAGTTGGCCATGTACGTTAGTTTTTAACTTTTTCCCGCTACATGCATGGTCAGCGTCATGGGCCTCGATGCTAAGCTGTTAGGCTTCGACGCCAAGAAACATGGTGCTGAGTTCTTGATCCATTTGGTCCATTTTTTATCGAAGTTTTTTATGGTTCACTTTCAACATAAGTTTTCGAAAAGAGCTAATTTGTCAAATGTACTGCAATTACCCAGTATTGAGACTTGAAGGTGCTAAATGTTTGGTTTCAGTATTCGAGGGAATGTTTTAGACGTAGCGGAGAGTTAGGGATCAAACGGACTTATCCCTCAGTTAGAACTTAGAACATTACTTAATTAGGTGGTATATATATAAATTCCATTTTCGTTATCCAAATTAGTCGGTGAAGTCACTGATACGTAGACTTACGTTATGTAAACATATAGAGAAACTACATTCTTATGAATAATTAAGGACAGAAAATACGTAGCAAAATTAATGATCATATTATCGCCTTGGTTAATTGGTACATTTCTGTTGTAGTAACGAAGAGAAAAGGGCACCACTTCCATTGTATAACATTTATTAAACATGAGCAAGAAAGCACACGTACAACATATTATGACATTTTTGATAGGACAAAAGCCCATTTATTCTACATACTACAATGAAGTACAGGTTTCATATATATCATACTTGCATCAATTGATTAGGGAGAATCAGTATGAGATAATCAGTAGTTGCTCTCCCAGAACTGAGATTTGAGCCAATCAATCACCTTCTTTTCCACTTGAAATGCCTTGGTCAGAACATCATCAGAGATTGGTGGCTTTGATCCAAACACCGCACTAGCAATTGTAATAACTCCAGGGTTTTGACTGTTGAGTGATGACTGGGCAACTGCTGGTTTATTGTGGTCTAAATTCATTTGGAAGTGGATCATTGCCTTAGGAAACACAAATGTGTCACCCTTATGAACCACCTTAGAGAAGAGCCTGTTTGGGTTAGACGTGACAAAGCCAACATAGAGTGTTCCCTCAAGCACAGTGAGGAGCTCGGTAGCACGTGGGTGAATGTGTGGTGGGTTCACACCTAAAGGCGCATAGTCGATGCGGGCCAGCGAGATGCCGAGGGTGTTGAGCCCCGGGAAATTTAGAACGTTGAGGTTGGTGACGTTGGATCCAACCTTGTTCATGGTACTCCTAGGCATGTCAAACTTGGCCGCGTTGAAAAAGTCGTCCGAGTTCACCTCCATTGGGTTCTTGCAAGGGAATCCATTTACCCTCACTGCTCACATAGAACAAGTTAGTACATGTATACTAAGCTCCATAGAATGTAAATATAAATGTTATATATACTTTTCAAAATCAGAAGTAGTACAAATTCTTTTAGTGCCATGACGCATGCACAATTTCAGATGAGAACAGTGAATTTCTTCACAACATTAGAATTAACACCCTATTTAAATCAAGTGATCACACACTTACACACACACATATATATATATACTTAATTACCAGGTGATTTCATGTCAGCAACACAAAAATCTTGGAGTGGGCTAGGATCAAAAGCAATGGCCTGCCATGAGGCCAGCGCAAGCAGAGCAGCTAGGAGATACAAGGAAGAAGAGGAGGCCATCGTGTTAATTAGCTAAGCTACTATGAGTTGGTTTCTCCTGCTGTGTGTGAGATGCTTTGGCGACGGAGGCATCGGATGTGATTTTATAGCGGAAAGGTTGGTTCAAATTAAAGGAGCGCAAATTGTGGTGACAAAATTAAATTGCTTAATTAGCTGTGAGTAACAGAACAAGTCAAGTACGTGTAGCTGACCACGCGAACTCACCGATTGAAAAGTACTCGCTGCTAGTGCTTTAATTAATTGCTGATGATTAAATATTTCGTCTCAGTTTTAATTAAGTGGTTTCTGTTTAAATATACATATCTCTCCAATAACTAATTTGCATCGTGCTTGACCGTGGACAACGTATACACTGAACAGCAATTTAGATTTATGTATATCTTGTGCCATGCACATCAAAACTATAGTTGGATTACAATATTGCATGCTGCATCTGGCTGGTACAGAAAAGGTCGTCGTCATATCGATCCATTATCCGGAGTATTATTTAGTGAAGGCACTGAAAAGACCTGTCAAAGACGTCCATATAAAAACTAATGTCTGTTCTTTCTCCAACAAACTAGCATGCATCAATTAGAATACTGCTTCCATCCCAGAAAGAGTGTAGTTTTGTACTGTTTATATCCAACGTTTGACAGTTCATCTTATTTAAAAACAATATGATTATTATTTTTGTTATTATTCGTTGATAAAGAATAAATAGTACTTTATGTGTGACTATTTTTTTATTTTTATAAATTTTTAAATAAGACATACGGTTAAACGTTAGACACGAAAACCCACAACCACACTTAAATTAGGATGGAGGTACGTGCTCCACGTACCCAATATTGTCCCTATTACTCCTTCCGGTTTTATTTTAATTGACGTTTTGGACAATGACATGCTCTACAAGATATACCTTTGACCTTATTTTTCTATTAAAATATATACAATAAATAAATGCATGTTTACTTTTATTATAGTGTTTTGAAAGACAAATCTATATATGTTTTTTCTAGTTTCTTTAAACTAAATATTTTTAAAGTTATTGAGGGTCAAAGTTATAAAAGTTTAACCTCAACCTTGTCTAAAACGTCAATTAATATAGAACCAGAGGGAGTATTAATTTAGTGAATTCTCAAAAGACCTACATATGGATCACTGAATTGATCATTTTCTTTTCGGAAAATGGACTCAATGACGATAATATATATGTAGAAATATGAGGATTTTGTTTTTTGTATGATGTTATATATGAAGAAATGAAGGGCACCCATCACTTCAATGCGTGCACATTTATGCATATGCATATCCATGCATATACGCATAATAGTTGACCACGTCATTGAGATTAATTCTAATTATATCTTGCTTGTGCCTGCACCTAACCCAACCAATCGCTGCAGGTATATGCAATATGTCATGAACATTTTCTGATTAATTGATCACTAGCTCTAACGTTTTCCAACATTGATCACTTGCTTTGTTGGTTACACATATAGGAGTATATAATTTCCCCTGCTATCTAGTTTCTGTTTAACTGTTTTTCTCTTTGAAGAGGGTCCTCTATCTGTTGCTTGCACGTAATCCAGGAGTGAAATATAATTAACTAATGTATACCTAACCAATAATTTTATGGACAAATTAAATAATAATCGAGGCAATCACAAACTGTTGGAGGAGATATATAGGCAACGTCCTCATCCTAATTTCCTGACCTGTTTGTTCTGTTGCTACAGTTGGCAGCTATCACCGACTAAATTAATTGTTTAATTGAAAAAGGATAATATATTGTATACGTGGTTAATTATTTTCTAGTCGAATACTAAATTAAATTATATACGTTAATTAGTTACGGATATAAAGTAAAGAAAACGATGTGGCTGCTAGAGGATGATGAACAAGAAAATAATGCGTCAGGGCACATTGATTGGTCGGTCATTGCAATTATTATGCTAATTAAGGTCATCGCAACCTATATATATATATATATATATAGGGTAACTCCCCTTTAATCTGCACCTAATACGACTAATCAGCAATATCATATATACTTGTCGTTCATCGATCTGATGATCTGTCATGACTTTGTCACCATTTTTTGTATTGGGAGTAGTTGTATATTGCTAGATTAATTCGCGCGTCTTAGTTTAGTAAATCTGGTAACTTTGCACGAAACATTATTAGAAAACACACGGTAACTGGTGGTGCTATACAAGTTTAATTATCACACGTTCAATCTAATGTTGTAATGTACCATTGCTTGCGAGTTAATCAACCGACCGATTAAACTGGCCAGTTCAACTGTTGAACATTATGTTCTAGTCGTCGACGTTTATCCTTACTATACCAGTTTAATTATATTGGTTACGTAGCTAGCTGGCTACACCCTCCGTCCCACGATATAAAGGATTTTGAGTTTTTCTTACAACATTTGACCACTCGTCTTATTCAATTTTTTCTTTTTGCAAATATAAAAAATGAAAATTTGTGCTTAAATCACAAATAAAATAAATAATAATTTCAAAAATTTTTGAATAAGGCGAGTGATCAAACGTTGTAAGCAAAAACTCAAAATCCCTTATGTTATGGGACGGTGGGAGTAGCTAGTAATTAAAGCATGCATGCATGGCACACCAGATTTTTTTTCTTTATGAGGTCATCAAAATTAATCCATACCCTCCTTGATTGCCACTATAAGTATACATGGGCTTATGCATGCATGCAGGTCATGTTTATATTCTTAATAAATAGCGAACGTTTTGGTGTTGAATTATACTTTTTTCCTTCATAAATCAAAGAAGGCTTTTTTTTAATAAAACATTGCCTACAATATTAATTATTCCCGTTGAAAACTATTTGAAAAACGAGATAAAATTATCGGTGGTGCTTAATAAGGTTATTGTGCGCTACTTATATTAACTAGCCACTGGTGGAGAAACCATCTTTGGTCGGTCGACCAGATTTTACAATAGTCCCGGTTGTATTAAAAACCAGGACTAAAAATATCTTTAGTCCCGGTTTAAAAGCTACAGGATACTTTTCAATCTTTAGTACCGGTTGGTGTTACCAACCGGGACTAAAGATCTATTTGTAGTCCCGGTTGATAACATCAACCGGAAAAAAAGATCGCCATATGCTTTACTCCCGGTTGGTTTTACCAACCGGGACTAAAGATCTATTTATAGTCCCGGTTGGTAAAACCAACCGGGAGTAAAGATCGACGCGGAGATCGGAGAGGTGTGCACGATCGGATCGAGGTACCTCCTCCTCTCCTTTAACACCTCTCTCCTCCTCAACCTTATCTCCTCCTCTCATTTTTAACTCATCTCTTCAACCTTATCTCCTCTTCTCATTCTTATCTCTATTCCTCTCCTCTTCTTCTCCTCTCCTTCTCCTCTCTACTGCCAAGCCGGCGCGAGGGCGGCGGGTCGCGGAGGGCCGGCCGGCCGGCGCGGTGCGCGGTGAGGCGGTGGCTTGTGGCGGTGGCCGGCAGGGCACGGAGGGCCGGCCGGCACGGCGGTGCGGTGGCGGCCGCACAGCGGCGCGGCGGCACGGCGGCGCGGCGGCAGCTGGCGGCGGGGCGCGGAGGGAGGGCCGGCCGGCCGGCCGGCGCAGCGGTGGTGGGCGGCCGCGCCGCAGCGCGGCGCGGAGGGCCGGCCGGCCAGCCGGTGCGGCGGCAGTGCCTCGCCGCACGTCTTCTCCTCTTTTTTTTCTTTTTCTTTTTTTTTGAAGAATCTGAGATTGTTGTGTGAATGTATTTGATTGGATCTGAGATTATTGTGTGATGTATTTGATTTGTGTGTGATGTGAATATGTGATGAATTTTGTAGAAGTTGTGATGTAATTTTTTTTTAAGATTTTGTGATGTATTTGAGTATTTGAGATGATTGATTTGTGGATTTGGAGGCAATTTGAGGATGATTGATTTGGGATTTTGGGGATGGAATGGGGTGAAATCAATATATTTAAAAATAATGAAGAAAAGAAAATAATAAAGAGGAACCGGAAAGAGCAACCGGATTAGCCTCTTTAGTCCCGGTTGGTAACAGTTTTTTTACCCGGGACTAAAGATAGCGATTTTTAGTCCCGGATTCGTAGTCCCGGTTCGAAAACCGGGACTATAGGAGGGTTACGAACCGATAGTAATAACTTTTCTCCACCAGTGAGCACGCCCCTCATATATAGCCACCGAAATTACTCGCTAAGCTCTTCACCCATCCCCTCATTCCTCTCCCTTCCCGCAGTATATTGCCCCTTGATCTAAAAAGAATTACACCCACCCCTTCTAGTGAAAAAAAATATTATCTAGGTAACTCCCCTTCTCTACTCACGTATCAGGATAATTATCAATGTTTGTGTAAATAAATTAACATTTCTTCTCTAGTTAGTCTCTCCTTATCCTCCAAATTTAAATGCACACCCCTATCAAGACGTAAAGAAAATATCTAGTCAATAATTTTTTTCATATCAAGAGGAGAGGGATGTGAGAGACTTGTGGCCTAACCAGTGCTTAAGTAATTTTTTTTATATCAGTTTGGGAGAGAGTGAAGGGGAGCGGGAACGAACGGGTGAGTGGCAATATAATTAAGGTGAGTTATTTACCATAAACAGCGAGTTGCGCTCTATATATATATATATATATATATATATATATATATATATATATATATATATATATATATATATATATATATATATATAGTAGTTCTCTAAAATTATAATATTATGATGGTGATTTTTGAGACGATATATGTAAATATGATATCAATACATCCAATCTAAAATTTTAAAACGATGCAGATGATTTTTTTTTTCTGATGAGACCAATGTAATTTTTTTTCCCAAATTTAACCTAAAATATATTGATCAAAATAATACATTTTCCTAAGAAGAAGGGATCAGATGATTACTATTTATTGGATGGAGAAGCGCATAATGTATTGATTACTAGTTCACCGTAGGATGTGCATGGATCATCGTCAAGAGCCACGCGTATTGATTACCATGCATGTTAATTAAGCCATAGAATTCACCTGGGCTCTGCGGCAAAAATACACTAAAGTACAGCGCCAAATTTTCTGATTTATCTTCAATTAATTCTGTTTATTTCAACAAAGAAGTTCCATCAATACGGAACTAGCTAGACTGGTGTGTTTGGAACCCTAGGTTTCCAACCCCTTCTCAATCGTATTTCACGCGTACATTTTTCAAACTATTAAACGGTGCGTTTTTTATAAAATGTTTCTATACGAAAGTTGCTTAAAAAAATCATATTGATTCATTTTTTTTAAAAAAATAGCTAATACTTAATTAATCACGCGCTAATGGATCGCTCCGTTTTTCGTGTTTACTGTGCAGGGTGGGAACATGCTATTCCGAACACAAGAGAATTAACAGGTTAAGGGTGTGTTCCGAATAGCATGTTCCCATACTATTCCGTGTTTACTGTTTTAATTCTCTTTTGGTTTCTAACGAACAAATCACATATATAACCTGTTAATTCACCTGTCAGACAGAAGCAGAGAGCTTCATGTACATGTAAAGCCGAGAACATAAATACCATGCATTCACAATCACTGACAATTCTCCTTTCATGAACAATCATTCTTTTATATTAATATATAATTAGGAAAAGGACGCCGTACTGTGTCCATATTGCATTACATTTATTAAACATGGACGATCAAACATACTGTTTTAGCATACCATGACATCAACTAGGCAAAAGCCCATTTATTATACATATTATAACGCACAAAGGAACAATCAAGAAACATGATATAATCAGTAGTGGTTATTCTCCGAGAATTGAGACTTCAGCCAATCAATCACCTTCTTCTCCACTTGAAATGCCTTGACTAAAACATCATCAGAGATTGGTGGCGTTGATCCAAATATGGCACTAGCAATAGTAATAACTCCTGGGTTTTGACTGCTGAGTGCTGATTGGGCAACCGCAGGCTTATTGTGGTCTAGGTTCATTTGAAAGTGAATCATTGCCTTAGGGAACACGAACACATCACCCTTATGCACCACCTTGGAGAAGAGCCTGTTAGGGTTGGATGTAACAAAACCAACATAAAGTGTTCCCTCAAGCACAGTGAGAAGCTCAGTAGCACGAGGATGCACATGTGGTGGGTTGACACCCATTGGCGCGTAGTCGATGCGAGCTAGTGAGATGCCAAGAGTGTTGAGGCCCGGGAAATTGATGACGTTGAGGTTGGTGACATTAGACCCGACTTTATTCATAGTATTCCTTGGCATGTCAAACTTGGCCGCGTTGAAGAAGTCGTCCGATGTGACATTCATTGGGTTCTTGCAAGGAAACCCATTTACTCGCACTGTTTGCATAGAAAAAAGAAGGAAACATGTTAAAGTTTTGAGTAGCCACAAGAGCCATATTTTTGTGTAGTGCCACTATGCAAAACATACAATTTTCAATAAGCAGTGATAAAATACTACCGAACATTAGGATAATAGTTAAATTAAGTGTGCACACCAGGTGAGGCCATGTCGGCGACGCAGAAATCTTGGAGCGGGCTAGGATCAAAGGCGATGGCCTGCTGCCATGAGGCCAGAACAAGAAGAGAAGCTAGCAGAAATAAGGAAGAGGAGGCCATTGAATTTCTTTCTCTCTCTCTCTCCCTGTGTTTATCGTTATTTTGGGTGAGAGATGATTTTGCAATTGAGGGGATGCATGTGATTTTATAGCCGCATGGAGAGGTCTATCGAGAGGAAGAGAGGCAGTGTTGCGTGGCGACAGAAAAATAATTGGTTGCGTACAAACAGATTAAGTCAAGTACATATACGTGGAGCTGACCAAAAGTGATCGAAAAGTACTCTGGCTGCTAGCTAGACCTGCTTGCACATTAAATATTTCATCCATGTTTATCAGTTTGAACAAGTTTCCTCTGAAAAAACATGTCTGTTCTAGTAACTAAGTAACCAATATATATATATTATCCTTCCTAGTTCCCTGCAGTCAGCTCTGTTTGTTTCAAATACTAATCTACCTTATGCTTACTAGATACATGTAGTTACGGCTCGGCATGTTTCATTAGGTAGTTTTGTGATTTCCATTTTCATTTTCGTTGTTCATTTCTTATTATTGGTCGCTAATTATTGTTTGGTTCTAGCTATGGACGAAGGTGAGATGGAAAGAAGCTATCCCATTTTTGGGAGGTCTTTGGTCGCAAGTTTAATAGAGATACGACATCCTCAAACAAAAAATAACTGGATTTTTCACATTTTGGTCCTTTTAAAAAACTTATTTCGTAAATAGATCCCTGAAAAAACTTATCCTAGAAATGGTCCTTTTTGGACGGCGCCAGCCTCTCTGGCGCCGTCCCCCTGCCGACGTGGCGGGGCGATGCTGAGGTGGCTAGGGGGAGCGCGCCAGAGTGGCTGGCGCCCCCCCCCCCCGAAATTTTTTATTTTTGTTTTATTTGTTTGATATTTTTTTCACGCTTAGAGACACACAAGAACCAACCATAGAAAAAATGAACTCAAATGGACGTAATATGTGACCTGTAGAATTTTTCCTCTCCTCTCCTCTCTCTCCGAACTAGTGCAGAGGAGAGAGATGTGCAACTTTTTTATTTTTATTTTATTTTTTGATATTTTTTTCACACTTAGGAACTCACAAGAACTGACCATATAAAAAATAAACTCAAACGAACAAAATATGTGGCCTGTGGAATTTTCCAAAGCTCTACCAAAAAACTTCTCTCCTCGAAAACACAATCTTGCAAGCAAAATTTGGAGGTTCTAATATCGCCGAACCTGGCAAAGCCGGGAAGAATCGGATGTAACTTTTTCTGTAGATGTCCGTGGATATATTATTTGCCTGATTCCGAGTCCGTATGAGAAAGTTATGCCTATTTTAATAAATGACATATTTTGTCTGTTTTCGGTAGAGCTTTGGAAAATTCTACAAGTCACATATTATATCCGTTTTAAGTTTATTTTTTCTATGGTTGGTTCCTGTATTCTCCTAAGTGTGAAAAAAATATCAAAAAAATAAAATAAAAATAAAAAAACTGCATCTCTCTGTACTATTTAACTTATGGCTATCATTTCATGTGGTTATATTTTGAATTAGAGATTAAGTAATTTCATATAGTGGTAGAGTGCATTATATTTAACATGCTGATCAAAGGTTTTTACTAAAGAAGTTATGGTCTAATTTTAATGAAGGTGCAAAATAGGCTAAGTGGTATGCTATTTTCGGATATCTAGCTAAGTGGTATATTCCGTTCAAGTTTAATTTTTTTTTTGGCTGGTTGTATCGTATCCTAAGTGCGAAAAAACATCCAAAAAATAAAACAAAAATAAAAATGTTGCAATATAGAGAAACATGAATGGAGGCGAGGGGTGGTGGGGAAGAGGGAGGTGGGCGGCACCAGCATGGCTGGCGCCCTCTTCCCTAGGGCGGCGCTAACCATTTTGGCGCCCTCCTCCTGCCACGTCGGTTCGCGTGTGCCACGGTGGCAGGAGGACGGCGCCAAAGAGGCTGGCGCCGTCGTCCACTCTGGCGCCCCAAAAATGACCATTTCTTGGATATGTTTTTCTAGGGGTCTATTTACGAAATAAGTTTTTCAAAAGGACCAAAATGTGAAAAATCCAGCAAAAAATAATCCCCTAAGATAATCCTCTAAAACCTCAGACCAAGCCATCTCACATTCTCTCCTCAGACCAATCCATCTCACTTCATCTTTTTCGCCGATATACAGATCACGCCGTCTCATCTAGAAAAAATGAAACCATTCTATATATCCATTCAGTATAGAAAACCATTTCGGTGAAACTTTTTTATTTTTAGGTGATCTGAAAGAAGATCCGCATGTGAAAATGCACCGGGGGTCCCTTATGACGAATCGCCTATGATAATCAATTTTTACCCGTGATAGTCTTATAACGACCCCTTTAAAAATAGGGTTATTTTTACAAGCAACCATCTCAAAGGACCGCATGTGAAATCATAATTTTTTACATGCAATCTATCACACTATTTTAACAACGCAGCCCTCCTAATATGACCGCTTATGAAAATGCGGGGGCATTATGCAGTGCCCATTCAGATACCTCTCCTTCCTATCACATCCCATCGATCTCTCTCACCTCAAACCTAGCACCGATCACTTCTCAGTTTAGATCTGATGCCCCTAGCTGCGTTGCTGCTGGCAACCCCTGCTGCTCGGAGACGTAGCTACGGCTCGGCGGCAGCTATGAGCTATGACAATGGCAAGAAGGCCTAGAACAATGACTAGTAGTGGAGCGCTAGTAGTGTGATCGAGCATCCTACTGCTTCCGTTTTGTGCATCATCTCGTCAGCTGTGACTAGCTCCTCTTGCCACACGAGCACCGCCGCCTCTCACTCGCCTTGCGCGTTTCATAGTACTCCCTCCGTTTCAAAATATCTGACACCGTTGATTTTTTAGTACGTGTTTGACCATTCATCTTATTCAAAAAATTTAAGTAATTATTTATTCTTTTCATATCATTTGATTCATTGTTAAATATACTTTCATGTACACATATAGTTTCACATATTTCACAATTTTTTTTAAATAAGACGAATGGTTAAATATGTGCTAAAAAGTCAACGGTGTGAAACATTTTGAAACGGAGGGATTAGTGATTCCAAAAAAAAGGGGGGATTGCCACCAACCAGTCCTACTTTGTCTCCAAACAAAGTAAAGAGTGGAAGAATGCAAATGTTACCTTAAATATTTTTTTCTTCCACTATTCAACCATATGTTTCAAACTTATAAACTTTTTTATTTTACTATTTATGCTAGTAATCAAGCAAGGGTCGATTTCTATTGCGTGGTACAAACTGGTGTTACCCGGTGAAGGAGCAGAAAAGACTGTCAAAGACGTTGATCCATGTCTAAAATATCTATAGCTAGTATACATAGTACTCCCTTCGTATTTTAATGTATGACGCCGTTAACTTTTTAATCAACGTTTGACCATTCGTCTTATTTAAATTTTTTATACAAATATAAAAAATACTTATGTTATGCTTAAAGAATATTTGATGATAAATCAAGTCACAATAAAATAAATGATAATTAGATAAATTTTTTGTATAAGACGAAAGGTCAAACGTTTGATAAAAAGTTAACGGCGTCATGCATTAAAATACGGAGGGAGTATTATTTTGATGACTGGGATGGTTATATTAGCATACATCTCTGTGAGACCACATTTTCCTTACGAGACACCTGCCTTACGAAGCAACAACGTGTGACAAGTACGCAACAAATTAAGAACCATATGCATCGATAGATCAGTTAAACTGATATATTGTGTCTTAAATTACAAAGCACGCATCGATCGATCTTCCCTAACTGGTCGACTTGCGCTGCCGACGCTCAATGTGTGTTGACAACAACACCCTAGACTAGGTTATCTCCGTTCATTCCAGATTTCATTAATTATTACTACTTCCTCCGTTTCTCAATGTAAGTCATTCTAGCATTTCCCACATTCATCGATGTTATTCATTAACATCGATATGAATGTGAGAAATGCTAGAATGACTTACATTATGAAACGGAGGGAGTATGATAGTACAGATCGATTGAATTGACTTCTTTGTGCAATTTGTTGATAAATTAATTTGTTTAGGTACGTATTTTAACTTTTCTGTATTATGGAATTGAGTTTGTTTATAAATATACTCCATAATTTAGATGGATAATTATTTTTACACGGACTTCAATGATATATTTTGATTATTAACTTTTTATATTATATCATCGACAACTATTAAAATAGGATCACTTGAAATTACATGGATATTGTTACTGTAATTATTAGCGAAGAGTTATCGAGTTTGATTTTTCTAAAAACAAGGTGCCTTTATAATTTGTTATTGTGAAATCATTGTCATGATTAATATTTGTGATGAACAATTGGCTATACAAATGATTTAATCAAAGAATTGGTTTGAGAGTATGTATGAATGTTGGCGTGAGTGCGTGTGACTAATGTGGGTCAGGTTGTGATATATGTACCCAGAAACGGTTGTTTTGTCTGATTGTGTGCAGGTGACTTAAGGACGGCCTTGGTCAATAGTGAGGACCGGGACTATGCTCAGGGAGGAGCAGAGGTCTAGTGCGGTCGGGATACCATGTGAGAAGGTGAATAGAGTCAGGATTCTTGGAGGACAACTTTAGTCAACGGTGGGGATCGGGACTAAACTCAGGGAGGAGTTGAGGTCCAGACGGTCAAGGAGACTGGGTGACAAAGTTGGATACGAGATGGCATACGGTGGATGGACATCGTGTGGGAGAGATCTTCGCAACAGGTTTCACGAAGTGTGCGTGCAAGCGTCGGTGTTCGCGAAGGAAATTGGTCGAGGAAATTAGGAGTATATATGAGCGTGCATATATGTATGTCTACTAGTGTGCAGCAGGCATGAGTGATCGATACATGCATGTGTGTTGGAGTCGGCATGGTTGGCTTGCTGCTGCCAGGTAGGTCAGGAGCAGCAGCAGGACGTGTAGGCCGGCAAGAGCAGGCGGCTCGGCTCGGCTAGGAAGTTGGTCCAGGAGCGAGACCGAGTTTGACTCGGTGAATTTTCTGTGGCCGGCTGTGGCTGCAGGTTTTGGAGAGTTTGTGAGAATTACAATTTGGTAATTAAGGATAGAGTCCTAGTGTTTCTAGGAGTTATATAAAT